CAACCAGAGTCAGGATTGCTAAGCACATAGCATCCGGGCGTTGTGATGGTGATAGGTTTCGTAAAGTCAATAACATTTCCATCCAGGGGAGAGGAGTTGTTTCTCGATCTCGTTGATCGAGAATTATCTTCAGTAAGAGTTCTGTCTTGCATGAAGAATAGATGGTAGGGAGCACATAATGAGATGGGGGCAAGGGCACCATCAAACCAACCAACAGCCTGAAAATAAGATAATGAGAGTAACACAGTTTTGACAGGGGTGAGTGATATCAGGTAAAGAGGTAAAGTTAAACAAAATCATTTTCAAAATAAAATAAAAAAGGAACACAAGGTCTAATTACATGAAAGTTTATGATGTGATTTGGAGAGATGTTGGTGCTTGGTGGAATAGGGGAGGGAGGGGAAGGGAGCGGGGTGGACTGCTATGGCCCAATGTAGAGATATAGAGGTTATTTAGTAAGTCAATAGTAGGTTGGGTGTGGGATTTGAGTACAATTTATAGAGGAAGGGGAGGCGGGGGTAAGGAAAAGTTTGTATATAAAAGATACAGTATATAATATAGATATAGAATATATTGATATATAGGATAGAATATATATACATGTACACAGTATAATACCACAACACTACTATATAAAATATCTCTATTCAAGGATGTCCATGCAGTCCAGAGTACCCGCAACAGGTAAAAGGAGGGAGGGGTAGGGTTAGGCTAGGGTAGGGTAGGGTAGTGAAGGAGAAAGTGTTTGTGTCATTGTGATGGAGATTGAAGATGCAGTGCAGATGTGACATGAATCTAAAGAACTCATCTTATTTTCAAGGCTGATAGCCAGTCTTCTGATGCCACTGGCCCCCAGAGCTCACATGCACCCCGTTACCAAGTCGTTTACAGCTGCATTTTTTGTTGCGGGTACTCTAGACTTCCATGGTACATCCTCAAATTATTTGTTATATAGTAGTGTTGAAAGTATGAACTCTCTCTCTCTCTCTGCAGTCCAAACAGACCCCAAACACTAACAGTCCCTCCTCCCCTAATAAGCTTATGGTATAAAATTACAGCGAATCTTCCTGGGCTAACCCAATTATGACGCTACATATACAGTAATGAGAGAGAGAGAGAGAGAGCAAGCCCCGTAACTCTTGCCGTTCTGCTCAAGCTATTTTATGTCACATTTTTGGTACAAAACCATCAATTAAACCACTTACCACCGACCGATTTAAAAAAAATTTGCTTATGGGCTTCGAATCTTTTAGTACGACATTTATAATATTTAAAGACACAAAATTTGTAAAAAAATGTGTACAATTTGTACAAAATTTATTCAAGGGGGGACCCTTGTGTTCGAGCTTGAAAATTATTTAAGACAATTTGTCTTCTAAAAGCACCTACTTGGTACTAAAAGATTCGTCTTACCAAGTTGATTACGATTCTGTAAAAATAATTTCAAAAAAACTGATACTTTTTGAGTTATAGGCATTTTAAGCCTTAAATCTGCCTTTTTTGCCCTTTTTTACGATGAATTTTACTAAGTCGTTTGAGGCCACATTGCATAGCTTAAAACTCAAATCTGAGAGAAATCCTACTCCAAAAAGTTTGATATGATCATCAGCTACACTCACAAGAATTTTTGAAGCGATATCTGCTGACCCGGGTGATTGGTGAAATGTACAACTTTAGAAGTGGGAAAAATTTCAATTTTTATTTTTTCGACCTTGTTTGGTCTGTAACTTCGTCATTTATCGTTCAATTATATAATCCTTTTAATGGCTTCTTGTACGGATTGTAAGTAATGTTCAATAAAAAATCAGTCGAAAAACTTTTAAAATAGCAGAACTATCGGTATTACAGTGACAGACTTCTCCAAATTTTAAAAATTTTCGAAAAAGAAAAATATTTTGTTTCTCGATGAGGGAATATTTTTAGAAAATTGTGAAGGTGTGCAATCTTATTCTTTTTGTCTATTTAACCATAATATAAAATAAAATCGATGTTCGGAGCACAAACGTTTTTGGTGTATCTCCCCTTAATGCATGTAATATGACATTGCTTCTCAAAGTTTGTAAAAAACGATCCTTACTCAAGCCTCAAATAAGGTTGAAATAAAATATAATAAATGATATATAAACAAAATATAATATAGGTGTTCCTAAAATTACTAGTACATATGTACATACGTTTGATTACTGAGACGGGCTTGAACGCTGCTGCTATTTAAAATGGTGAACTTCAGGAGTGAAGGTTATTTTATTGTAGTATGCAGTTAAATATAGAAACACTAAAAGTGTGATATAACGTTAAGTACTGCAGACTCGGTCAGTTAGTGAATCCAAGTATTGGGAAACTTCAATAGCCCTCTGTAGCATAAATAATACTGCTTATCATATCGTCCCTTCTCCGAGAGGAAGTATCCTTTGTTTAAAATACTATTTATAACGTTGACTATGTGGTTTCGCACTAGGGTACGTGTCGCACACCGTACTGTAGTGCGACAGAGAATTTTCAAGGCCGACACTGTCGCGCTTTAGTACGCTACCTGGACTGTTGTGCGACACGAACTAAAGTGCAACAAAAAACAATTCAAAATCAAAATCATTGTTCCAACACACTTCAAATAGTCCATTCTGTCATAATCATCGTAGCAATCAATCACAGCGTTCAAGCGACGGTCGTAATCGGTCCACTTCTTCAGTCGGCGAGGAGTTGGTTGTCTGAGCATCTTCTGGTTGATCTTCCACTGGGTTAGATCCTGCTCCTTCTTCAGGACGTCGATAAATCGCCAGATAGTAGGGTTGGTGCCTGGTGCAGCCAATCAAGGATCGAAAACCGTTGTGCCAACCCTCAGCAATGTTTGAACTTCTGGGGAGTCCGGCCATGACAGCATCCCGTTGATTCCAGATCCAGTGTGTGTAGAGGGAAGAGGAAGTTTTTGTTCCGACCCAGGTACGTTCGTAGTAGTCAGCAAAGGAATCCATTCTCTCAGCTGCGTCCAGGTATCCAGTACCGATCATCTGAAAGTACTTCCGTACTGCTGAGTTCTCTGCGTTGTATTCCGGGACTAGGTCATGTTGCTGCATCTTCCTCCAAAGTGCTTGCTTGTGGTGGAAGAAGCATCCTCTCTTGGTAGTAGTGGGCCAGGTTGTCTCCACAGCGTTGATCAGGGCTCTCTCGTAGTCACTCATGAACAATTTCTGCTCGGAATGGGGCGTCGAAATTAATGCAGATAAAACTAAACTCATGAAATTTAATGCCCGTTTTGATAATCATCAGCCGGTTCCCCTCAAAATTGGTAATCACTTGTTAGAAGAAGTCGAGTCATACTGTTATCGAGGAATCGAAATACACAAATCCGGCTCATTCACAAATGCCCGAACTGAGCTCAAAAAGAAAGCCATGCGTGCACTCTATGCCATGAAAAGCTCAGTAAACAAATCCAAATTATCATTCCGCTCTCTAACAACACTCTTTGATGGTCTTATTAAACCTATCGTTCTTTACAGAGCGCCTATTTACACACCTAATATGTCTATCATAAAACACATATCAAAACAAGTCGATCTCAATATGGATCCCGACACAAAAACAAAATTTTAAAAATTCTCAAGAAAATTAGCCTTCTGGACAGCGAAAAAGTTCACCTTCACTTTCTTAAATGGTCACTGGGTGTAAATCGTAAAGCCACGGGCGGCCCATATAAACGCATGACTGATGACGAAATACCCAATTAGGGCTAGTACAAGTCAAACACGGATCATATGCTTCATGTTGCTGTCCAGTCGCAAGACAGGGTCGCTCAACTGAGCTTGACCGACAAGTGACGTTAAGTGAGCCGATGAGCCCCGCTTCTTGTCAAATTGGATTTTTAATTACGACCCACTCATGAACTTTAAGTAAACAGTATAACCTTTAGTTTAACGGCGAAATACAGCTAATTTCAGTTCATTAAAGTCGTAGGTTTGGAGGATTAAAACGGCTACTTCTAATTCTTTAAAGTCTTAAGTTTGAACCAAAATACCCTACTCCGCGTCAGCTACACCCAGAAAACCTTACTGGTAGGGGCCTAACTTCGAAAATAAAAGAGATAGAAACTGGAAACGTCTGGTTTTCAACAAAATGTTCGTTTCGTAAAACTAAGGTTACCTCCCCAGGAGGAAAATTAGGGACATTGTAAATTTGAGTTATCTCAAAATTTCCAGAAAAGTTTCATTTTCGGCCGATTAAAAGTTTGCAACTTTAACTTTGCAGATTTCTGTACTCTGATTGGCTGAATTGTGTCACGTGCTAGCTGCTTGGATATTGGAATGCGCCACGCGTGCAAATCAAGCTTAATGTCGCGAGCTCGACCCGTCCGTTTAAAGTAAACCACTTCTAGTTCTAGTAACACCGCCAGCCAGTAAATTTTGCTGAGGCTGAAGCAAAAGGAGCTAAGCTGCGCTGCCGGTGCTATTATTGCAGTATTGCACAGTTCCACACCCTATCGACGTATTAACGCAAGACTTTGTTTAACTTATATTTGAAAAGCTCTAATGTTAATAATTACTGTGCTGTCGGTTTATGATGGTGACCACTCCCACCTGCTAATGCCTAATGTTACAGTTCTATCTCAGACCCCAGTTTGTCATTTAATCTCTAAAAATAGCAACACGGTCCTGTTTTGAAGTGTCCTGCCTCTTGAAGCCACGTTAAAATTATAAAGGTTTACAAATTAATAAATATTATACTTCTTACAATGGAGGAAATTATCAACAGTAAACTCAACCACATCATCAAATTTGTGGCCAGAAACTGTTGACCGTAACCGACAGAGAGAGAAAGTGAGAGAGACAGTTGTCTGTAATTTATCTTAGTTATAATGACTATAATTATTGCATTTAATTTTAACGGGCTGGTCAAATTTTTGATGAACTATCACACGAAAAATATCCTCTAACGCGACAGAAATTAGAAATTACAATAGTAACCACCTCATCAGGTTTTTCCATTCATACGACCTTATACTTATATAAGTGTAGATAAGAGACTAGAAACAAAATTATCATTTCTACAATTCGAATTTATGATGAAGTTTCTTATCTTTGTAACTTTTTTAGTCGGAGTATTATATGCAGCAAAGTCAAAGAAGTCTAAGGGTGGGACCAAGCAGCTGTTACAAGCGATAAAAGATGAGCTGAGTGAGCTCAAGAAGGGACAAGGAGTTCTTGGAGAAAAGATCCAGTCCCTTGATGACGGACAAGGAGTTCTTGGAGAGAAGATCCAGTCCCTTGATGACAGACAAGGAGTTCTTGGAGAAAAGATTGATGACGGACAAGGAGTTCTTGGAGAGAAGATCCAGTCCCTTGATGACAGACAAGGAGTTCTTGGAGAAAAGATTGATGACGGACAAGGAGTTCTTGAAGAGAAGATTCAGTCCCTTGATGACGGACAAGGAGTTCTTGGAAAGAAGATTCAGTCCCTTGATGACGGACAAGGAGTTCTTGGAGAGAAGATCCAGTCCCTTGATGACAGACAAGGAGTTCTTGGAGAGAAGATCCAGTCCTTTGATGATGGACAAGGAGTTCTTGGAGAGAAGATTCAGTCCCTTGATGTCAGACAGGGGGTACTTGCAGAGAAGATTCAGTCATGTGAGAAAAAGCTGGGGACATGGCGCCTGGGGATGAACATCAATCCTGCCGACGGACACATATTCGGATACACTGTCGGTAAGAAATTATTATCATGCTTTTTGAATTGGGACTGGTAGATTTAAGTGTTGCCATTTTGTGCCATCGATTTGGGGATTTCACGACAAAAATGAAAATTAAAGTAATTTTTATGTCGAAATGTCAAAAATTGTGAATTGTTCATACTTCATTGTGGTTCTGGTATCGATAAAAATTATTCGCATTATAGAAATAAATGGGCAAATGGCGAAGCTGCGTTCGTTATCTTTATCATTTACAGGACAATAACCCAACACCATCAGGCTGAATTTATTATCCTCAGGATGGGCCACTAGTATTGATATTGGAAGTGATGATGAAGCCTTAACCAAGGACTACTTGAGTGCAAAAGTGTGGGCTACACCAGCAAACTACATCGCTATTGTGAGACATCAGCGAGGTGTTGTGGATGCTGTCAAGGTCTTCAAGTTCAAAGTCCCGGGAGAATCACTCAGTACAAGGTAAGCACAATTTCCCCCAGGAACTAAGCCTCTGCCTGGATTTGGTTCTACCACTTGCAATCTGTCATAAAATCTTTTCAAATCAAGATCTAATTCTTATGGGTATTCAGATTTCAGAGATTATAAATATTTGATAACATAACTTTGTTCAGGTTCGGGCTGAAAAACATGAACCCGGGCAGACAAATTGTTACTCAAGGAGGGCCAATCCAGGAGTCAATTGCCGATGATGCTGATAATTTGGGAGACGATCCTAGCCCCCCCCCTTGGGGGGGGCTAGGGGGGGCGCAGCCCCCCGGAAATTTTTGCGAAACAGGGTGTTTTAGACGACATTTGGCATTAAAGAAATTTGTAGGACAGCAATAAACTGGGATTGAAAAGAATCAAGTACTCACGTAAATTTGGTAACTTCACAACAGCAATCTGCATTCTCCAATCAGAATTTACGACTTACTCAGGCCTCATCGTCTTAAGATTTTTACATTTCCTACGGTCTAGGGGACACTATTGACTATAATTATAGAAGTCTTCTAGAATGTTTGCTTGGATTTAATGACATATATTTACTAATCCACAGTTCAAATCTTTGACTGACTGCAGTCATAAACACAGCCCAGTTACCAGGCGCCCATGGGGACTAGGGGGCTTATCTTTTTTCTGGGGTTCGATTTTTTCCGGGGGGGGGCTGCCGCCCCCCTAGCCCCCCCCCCCCCCCCCCCCCCTGGCTACGTGCCTGGTGCTTAGGTGCACGTGCTTAAATGCAGAGTTACAGTGTTGTGCTGTTGTGATCTATATTACTCCTCAGAGTCAGGAGCACTTTGATTAGGCTTAATCAGATTCGGTTATTTTAGCATTTAGGGGGTGGACGATAAAAATAAACTTGCTCGGATTTTAAAAATTTTTGTACCAATTTTTTCTAGAGACTGTGAGAATTTTCACAATACCAAAATTGTTATACTTTTTTGGAAAGATCAGGGAGTTTCGCCTAGGTGCCATATTTTTGGAGCAAAAGTAGCTGTAAAAGTCGCGTAATTTGACCAAATTCGTTGATTTTTGTCGTATTATTTGGATTTATCTTCGGTTCCTTGAATGTGATCATTCTGAAAATTGGCGACGACCTTCCAATACTAATAGGGCTTTCACAACTGTCCGAAAAATTTGGTGGATATCGGAGTTGATATAGTGATAAAAATGGGGCAAAATACGCTGCTTTTAGCTGTAACATAAGTTCACGTAACGTAATTAACTGGTCACCTACCTACACTTTGTATCACGTGGTGACCCCCACGGTCGCTTCACTAGAGTTTCGACGATACAGGGGGAGCTGCGCACTCGTGCGCGGCGGGTCATACAACGTATGACAACCTACGCTCACTAATTATCTCAAATTCTAACGCAATTTGGAGTAAGGGGCCATCTACTTAGGACGTCGGCCAAAATCGCAAATTTTCGGACCACCGGCCGAATGTCGAAGCGGCGAAGTCCTCTTGCAAAGATGGCCCCTAACCTGCTAGACTAGAGGTAAATTTTGAAAATTTGGGATTTGTAATTGTTGTACTTCTATACTAGGGGGTGCACCATAAAAATAAACTTCCTCGGATTTTAAACATTTTTGTACCATCGTTTTCTAGAGACTGCAGTGAGAATTTTCACAATACCAAATTTGTCATACCTTTTTGGAAAGATCTGTGAGTTTCGCTTATTATGTGCCATATTTGCAATTTGATGGTGCCGGGCTTTTGAAGCAAAATTAGCTGTAAAAGTCGCGTAATTTGACCAAATTTGACCAAATTCGTTGACGGATGTTACTCGTCTAAATTTCTTCGAAGTAGCGCGCGCCGCTTTCTTCTCGAAATGTTGGCCCGATGGCAAGTGCTACAAAGTAGCGCGCGCCGGGCCAGACCATTAACAATGGTCAACCAAATTCGTTGACAATTGATTTTTGCCGTATTATTAGGATATATCTTCAGTTCCTTGAATGAGATCATTCTGAAAATTGGCGACGACCTTCCAATAGGGCTTTCACAACTGTCCGAAAAATTTGGTGGATATCGCGCGGAGTCTAATTGATATAGTGATCGAAATGGGGCAAAATACGCTGCTTTTAGCTGTAAAATAATGTTTGATGGTTGGATATGCTTTACATTTTTCGGACACTTTCCTTGTAAGTCTATGAGTAAGCTTACCAATTTTTGTTGCAATCGGCCCAGACCTTACTGGCTGGCAATATTACTACAGGTTATCACGTCTAGTGTCTACATGCACAGCTTGTCGAACCCCGCGCGCGCTCGTTCATCGTTAGCTTATTGCATTTGCACGCTTCAAACATTCCAATAATGCAATTGCATTACGTACCACGTAATAAGATTCAGCCTATCAGAGAACAAAAATCCGCAAAGTTAAAGCTGCGCACTTTTAAAAGGCCCAAAATAAGACTTTTCGCGATAATTCAAAATCTACGTTGTCTTGAATTTTCCTCCTGGGGAGGAAACGTTATTTTTACAAAACAAACATTTTGTTGAAAACCATGAGACGTTTCTATTTCTTTTATTTTTGAAGTTAGGCCCCTACCAGTAAGGTTTCTTGCTTGGGATGCAGTATACGCGTAGACATACAGACAGAGGCTCTTACTAAATCGCTCGCCAAAAAATTTCACATGACTTTGGTTTGTTTGGTTTTGCAGCCTTACAAAACGGTTTTACATAAACCCTAATCCCAACCCTAATATAACCATAACCCCGAAGCTATCCATAATCTTAGCCACAACCCTTGATTGACGATGTCAATCCGTCGAGATCGTTGCTTTGCGAAGCAGAGCAACGATCGTCGATGCGAAGCAAGAATGCTAGTTTGCGCGGCGCATCGAAGCGGCGAAGTCCTCCAACCACAACCCTAACTCTAACCCGAGCCCTAAATAATCGAATTCACGTTTTACTAGCCTGTCACGTGACCAAAACGGTTTTTTGCCCATAACTCTCCAGGGTAGAATTTTAACTCTACGTCATGGGGGTGATTCAGAATCAGCGTCCAAAAATACACCGATCTAGATTACTTTCATGCCTAAAGGGCCTTTTCACAAGAATTTTCTTAAAATTTGGGCGAGCGATTTGGTAGGAGCGACAGACACATGTACATGTTTGTATAAAATAACAAATAAACCATAAACGATGGTTATCATTATTATTATTATCATCAAATTGGTCATGGCTAATGATTCTTTAACAAAAATTTCGCCGCGGTTTAACCACGCACGATCAATTTTCCCTACCATGTACTTGTACCATTATGGCATTAATTCTTTTGAGTGAAAAGTGTGACTGAAAAAAAAGCACCATATTTAGTATTTACATACTATGTTTTTTATAAATGAGTGGGATTCGTGCATAGTAACAAAAAATGCGGCCGCTTTTTTTTAAGTGCATGGCCGCTCAATTTCCCGATCTGTGATGGCGTATTTTATCATATTCTATACAACCTGGGGACCCCAGTTTTTACTGTTTATAAGTATGCAGATATGGCGAAGTGACAGGCCGAGCGCCACCAAGTTAATATAATTCCATATTTAATTTGAAAATCGTGTATATTTTTAAAAACCATATGCTTATTGTTTATGCAACCTGACACCCGACACGGATCTGTGAAAAATAGTATAAGTAACTCAAAATAATAATAGTATGCTATCAATTAGTGCCTAGTGGGATATGTACATGGTGAAATTAACCATGTACTTGGTCAGTTCAGCGCCGCGCGCGCGCCAACAATTATTTAATTCGAATTATTCCGCAAAATAACTTTGCGCAGGTAGTCACGTGGGCGATTACAGTGTGTGCAGGCACGTACGGTCGCACGCTCGCAGGTACGGTCGCAAAGCTACCATATACAAAAAAACCTCGTTCGCTAACCCTTGTCCTTGACTCTTTTGTGCCTTCGGCACGAGTCATGGATCGGGAAAAAATTGACGATTTATTTGACCAATGCAGCGCCGCGCATCAACAATAAATGAATCCAGAAAATTGCGGAAAATAACTTTGCGAAGGAGGAATTTCACTGTAATTAATTAACACATGGCTAGCGTCGCGCGCAGCATAACACACGCTTCCTATAAACTTAATTATATAATAGGGGAGTTGGGAGTGATCTATATTGCGAAGGAGCAGACTTTTGTCGTCACTGCAGGTCCATCGGGCCACCTCATATATCCAAATCCAATTACTTATTCCCTACGATCTTTTTGCCTTCGGCAATTAAGAATAGGGAAACAAATTTTAAATTGTCAACTAGCTGTTAATTGTAGCTCAAAGCACTACTTGATTAACTGGACCGCCGGGTGCGCCGCGCATCAAAAAGTCTTCTCGGTAGATCGGCGAGATGCACCACTGAGCCTCGCCGAGGTGCGAAGGATTGACATCGTCGCGTGAATCAAGCTGTTAACTGAGCTGAAGGACTTAAACTTTAATTACAAAAACATTGTCTATTGTTATGGACTAATGGACATTGTTAATGGACTAACTGATCCATAGCACTTTCACATAGCTATGTGTATATATATGACGCAGTACGCGTATACACATGGCTATGTGAAAGCAAAAGGGCTCTGGTTAGAGCGCAACCAGAGGGCTCTGGTTAGAGCAACGTAGCACTTGCTTCGGGCTAATATGTACATGTAATATATTTTGAGAAAAAGTGCTGCGATCGAGCGCTACACAAACAATCTGTCCTGCTTGTTTTTAAATTTTTCCCCCTGATTTTGCAATTGATGTTCAAAACTTTCACGGATACTATATTTATATTTTTGTCGGCCGGGTGGTGTAGTGGTACTCCTACTTCAAACCCCGTCTGAGGCAGGCAGGCCAGGTCACCAAGCTGTGATTGGTACAGGATTTATCCTGGTAATTATGCTCGGAGGATATCAGTGACGCGATTCCCACTACAGTGTAAGCTGCAGTGTAGCTGTAAAGTCTACCGCCATTCGGAATGAGTGTGAACTTGCTTACCAGGCAATCATGATTTCCGCTTGGTTCTCATCAGGTCTCTAAGAAAGCCAACAGTGTGCTGATATGCATTGTCATATGTACTTCCTAGAAGCAGCACACGGCCCATTTCGGACTTGCACGAGTTATAATTATATTTATATATGTATACAACAAAGCAAATATCTGACGAAATGAAACGATATAATATCACAAAGTAGCACGTACAGTAAAAAGTCTTCTCAAAAAGCGAACAATTTTTTTATGAACACTAAATGTATGTTTGTGTTACCAGTTGTACTTGTCAAATGCTGCCCGACCTATCATCTCATTGATGCATCCGGGCCAGTGAAGGGGATGCATGCAAAGCTTAAGCCGTGCAACGTTGTACAAGTTATTGAAAACGTTCGATACCAAATTATGGCACTAGTTATAATAAAACTTTGTTTTTCAGCACAAAACTTAGTTGTTTCAGCAGAGAATTGGCTACTTTTACTACTACAACAAACTGCCGTTTTTATGAAATTTTTTACTGAATTTTTATATAGAATTTTTATATAGAATTTTTATATAGGGTTATTGTTATATTATGTGTATATTGTTTGAATAATTATTATTTTCAGTAGAGCCAGGTTTTAAATTGTAGGCTCTTAGCAAGTCTTCATTTTCCTGGAGGCGGGCAGCGTTCCAAAGACGACTGCTGTCTGATAATGAACACGGTAAATGGCTAACACCTAAATAGCGTTACACTAATATGTCTGGAACAACAAATCTTTTTGGAACAACAATTTATTGGAACCAGATTATTTAAGTGATATGTTTAAATATGCCAATTATAATCATCTTATCTATTTGACTGAACCAAGAGTATATTCACAGTATGGAGAAAGATCGTTTCAGAAAGTTGGCCCTAAATTATGGAATGAGCTGCCTCTTGAAATTAAGAATTGCATGTCACTGGAATCTTTTAAAGTGTATCTGAAAACGTTTCTTTTTAAACGTGCTTTTGATATTAATTAATTTACTATTTTTCAACGTTTCTACTGTTAAGTGCATACCCTTAACCTTGTAATTTAGTGTATCAAGTCTTTGCAATTTTCTATGGTTTGGAACCTAAATGTGGATTGCTTTTCAGGTTTTCTTGTATCCTGACTTGTTTTCGTGGCACACCTGTGCATTTTAAGTTGTTGTGCCACTATAATTTATAAGTTTAAATTATTATTATTATTATTTTATTCATAACATTGTAATGGTTGCTTTCATGCCCACAGTTTTCTAGTTGTAACTCACTCTACCATAGTCATGAGCTTAATATTTATGTGGTAGTTTTATAAACCACTTTTAATTTATTGACCTATTATACCTAGTGGTAGTTTTATAGACCACATTTAATTTATTAACTTATTATACTTAGTATTTATTTTTGGTGACTATATCACCCAGTTTTAACATTTGATAATTGTACAGTTTATTGACGACACATTGACTGAATGTTATTTTATATTCTAATCTATATTCTAGATATTTTATTTATTTTTCAACAGACGACAACTTCCTGTTTTTTTCTTCTATATTAGTTACTCATATCTCTTGTACAGACTGTTTTACAAGGACATTGACAGATGATACTCACATTAGGCATTCATTATTGCATCTAAATTATTTCACTTGCATTAGGTTTAGAAATTTATTCTCTGGTTAACAGATTTCAAATGTTTAATTAATTTGTAGTATGACAGTAAGGTATATAAGAAGTTATTTAATTTTGCTTGGGCTATTATATTGACTATTGAGGTTTAATGATGATATGGAATTTGAATTTTATATAAATTTACACTATGTGGTTGGGGCATTTTGCATAGTAAATATGGAACTTACTACTCCTATATATCATATTATTTGATTGGTATTCGATTTCTGATTATTTCCCTAGGAATATGATTATTATATCTCAATTTGGCTTTAGGTAGGGTGCCCCGCTAAAAGAACTGGATTCTTCCAGGAAGCATCCCGTGCACAGAGCTTGGTCTACATATATATTAAATTATTAACCATTCATTCTGTATGTGCACGAAAATTTATTTCAATCAATTTATTATTATATGTTTTGATTCTTTGATTGATTCTTTGATTCTTACAACCAATCAGTCCTTAGAATCAAATCAGTATTAACAGTTTTTGACTAAATTGAATGTCGTGCACCAAGCGTTCTAAATCACTCTACACTCGATCTTCGAGATTTGGCGCCCCCTCCCCTTTTGGTGCCCCTCCCTAAAATTAGAATGATTTTAGAGGATTCGCCGGTAAAATCTCTAAAAAAGTGCGTATCTAGAGCAAAACGCGCAGTTTTGCTAGTACTTTAGTTAAGTTTTCGAAATTGTCCCACATTTAAACGACGATTTGGCGCCCCCCTAAGACGGCGCCCAATCCCCCCCCCCCCCCCCCCCCCCCCCCGCACAGCAGGGTCAGCGGGGCCTTTCGTTACGCCACTGCCCCCCCCCCCCCCCCCCATGACATGGGTTTAAATGCTCCCCTGGCGAGATATTGGCAAAAAACTGTCTCAATCACGTGATATGACTGTATAAGGAGGTTGGTCTAATTTCTCGGTTGGGTGAGGGTTTCAGCATATGCTTTTGTTAGAGATTGTGTTAGGGTTAGGGTTGAGATCAGATTAGATGGTTAGGGTTTCAGATACGTAGTCGTTCAGGGCCAGCCATAGAACGGGTTAAAAAAGTCATATGATAGCAGTGGCGTAACAAAGGGCCTCTCCAAAAGGGAAGGGTCGCTTTTTCAGGGGGGGCGCCAACAGGCAATGTTACGCCACTGTGGGACAGTCGATTGTAGAGTGATTAATCATCATCCATCCTGTACAGCAGATTGAAGCTTCTTTAAATTTTTAAATGTTTATTGTATTTCTGTGTAAATTTGGTTATAATTCTAATTCTCATTTAAAAATTATTTTTAAATTGGGTATCAACTGATAGTATATTTTTCCCTCTGTCAGCAAGCTTATATATTGGATAGCGACCTATTACAAAATAAATGAGATACTGGGTAGTTTTTTTTACTGGAAAGATGGAAATTGCCATGATCTGATGTATTTGATAGTCTTATCAGTAATCTCTCATTCATAGTTTCTTATTTTAATTATATAAACTTGGTTACAGGACATGTCACTTTCTTTAAAAGTTTATCACTGTCCACGGGGGATGGAGCAAGATCTAGTACGTTTGTTGATGAACAATCGGTTCTCCCTCACAAAGTATGCAGTGAACAACACTGACCCATTCGATACCGTCATCGACTTTGCAGATCCTGCTACTGGACTAAAAATGGTGGAGTTTATAAAAACTCAAGTACCCAGATTGAGAGGGCAGCATGTTGCGCTTGATGCCCAGCTCGTGAGTAATCATTTTATTGCAGATAATACTGATAATTTTTAGGATTTACTGATTATTTGTTACAGAACAACTCAGTTTTTGTTATTTAGCAAGAAGGCTGATTTTAAATTCTTCACAATAGGAAATTATCCGTTCAGGTTATCTCAGAAATCAAATTATGATATTTTGTGGACCATTATGATAGTTATTATTTCAGCAGGTACCTCCAAATGTGAACATCAGGTATGAATAACTGTTGAATAACTGTTGAATAATTGTAAAATTCTTTGAAATTTCTGATGTCGATGTGAAGGAATGAAGGTTTTAGTAGCTTAAACCTTGTTATAATGATTTTAAGCTTAACCATCTTTCCCTTAGACCTCAACAACAGATGGCACCTACTAATAGACCAAATACTTCCACTGGATCATTCAATAATGGACCACGTGCTAATACTGGACAGTCTTGGTCCAGAAATGAACCACGTGCTAACACGTTGTCAAATAATGGACCAGCTTCTGCCATACCTCATAGATCCAATAATGGATCAGCTTCTGCCATACCTCATAGATCTAATAATGAACCTTCTCAATCAAATGCGCCAAGAAGGCCTGATAAAGTGAAAGACATAAGAAGAAATGTGCGCTCATTATTGGCGACAGAGAAGAAGGGCCTTGATGCCATGCGGTTCATGAATAATTATCAGGAATTAACGGGTGAATCAATCTTTGATGACATCAGAAAGATCAATTATCAAACTTTGACGGATTTCTGCAACGACAACCTGGATTGTATTGATTACGAGGTTAGTTAAATGTCACCTTAGACCGTTAATTGTATGCATTAATTATACACATGTTTAAATTATGGGGATGCCTGTTACGGTATATAGTTCAACAGTGGCACATTCTGTTGATGATATTATAATTATATAGTTCCTTGCAATAAGTTTGTAAATTTTATTTTAATAATACGTACAATGACTATTATATAATAATGAATAGATTATAGACCAACATTTTATTTATTTCCAAATTTCTCTTGTTTCATTATATTTACGAGTTAAATCCTCACTTCCACAGGCGTGGAACAATGGAGCGATAGCAATATTCCATGGTGTTCCTGATGCCAAAACCGCACACATATTTCAAATGAACCAGGCAACTCGCAGCAAGAACGCGCCTAATGCAAGGCCCATTCCGATGAGATTTCAGGCGAAGTTCGGTAACTTCTTCAAGCCAAAGCACAAGGTTCTCGAGATGCAAAACAAATTGAACAATGAGGTAATTTGTTGTTTAAATCATCCGACAAACCTGATGCTGTTTGTGGGGTTGCTATTAATAGTAAAAATAGTTCTACAACTTTTGACATAATAGGTTGTCTTGACAAAATGAACTCTCCGCCCCTAAAGTCCAAACCCCCGTCCCCCACCCGTATATTTGCACGTAATATTTTGTAATAACAATAATCAGCCTATTTCAACAGCCTCTAGAACTCCCGGATAAGCACAAGCGGAGGATTGTAACAGTGATAAAATCCTGTCCAGAAGGGCTCAGTACTGACGAAGTAAAGTTAAAGTATTCGGAACTTTACGAGGAGCCTTTCCCGTGAGTCAGAATTTTTCGACAACATATTATAAAGATTTACATCTCCTTTGCTCGGTTGTAAAATACCGTGGTTTCATGTTTCGTGCTGACAATTTATTTGGTTATCTAACAGTGAAAGCAGGATTAATGAACGAATAGTGTGACATTGGGTTCTCAACCATGGAAATTTAGAAGTCCCTACATGCTGTTCTTTCTGGCTCCATGTGCTAGTTAGGGGTCTGAGGTATCCGAAAAATCATGTTTTGAGTACCCAAAGTGTTCTGGGTGCCAGGAATGAGGTTATTAAAGCGGCGAAAATGACCGATTTTGGACTATTTATGAGCTTTTTTGCCCATTTTCATGAGATAAAGAATCAGGAAAGCTGCTCTAGATGATTGAAATGGTTGATACCAATGAGGATACACCCAACACACATGAATATTCGTGATATATGTGATTTTAATGAGAAAAATATGATCTCAGGGCCCATTTTATACCAAAATTTGCCAAAACCACTCGCACTTGTCAAAGCTTCCTCATTTTAGACACATTTAATGATTATTATGGTATCTAACTTATGGTGGATCTGATAGGAGTATGTCTTAGCTTCATTTTAAGCCATCAATGAGCATGCTGGTGTGTATGAAAGTACTTTTATCCTCCCGTGGCCGTCCATTGATATAGTCTGGGCCATGCGCGCGCGCGCGCGCGCGCGCGCGCTTTTACAAACATGAATTTTCTCCCTCAGTATCTATCTAAATCTTTTAAAGACATGATTTGAATGCTATCCTACTCAGCACATGAGTGCTACAGGATGGTGAAAGAATTTCTATAAAAAATCGTTAAATGTGGAAGATATGAGGTCATTATATGTGTGTGCGCGCGCGCGCGCGCGCGCGCTTTTACAAACTTGATATCCTCAGTCCTTTCACATATACTGAGATTTTGTTTCAAACTTAATTGACTCTGAACCGAAATTGCCAAAGGAAACAGATAGTGTAACTCAGAAAGACCACAAATGTATAGTTTGTGAGATATTGAGGTTATACTCCAAATAATTTACAATGATGTCACACCAGAAAACCTCTATTTTTGGTATATTTAACCTCATATCTTGAACGCGCAGTACTGGATTGAGCTAAACTTGGTCAGGTTTTGTAGCCCTGACTATCCTCGATCATATGGAACAGGAATAAAACTGTTTAGATGTTCTATCTTAATTATATTAGGCACTTAGTTCTGAAAAGTGAGAATGTCATTAATACTGCTTTCACTGCTAAGTTTTTGAGATCAATTTATAGTATAATTCCCAGTATGCAACATCTCTGTGATATCACTAAGAAGAGGTACCTAGTGGACATCCTGGCACTGATCCAGCAGTTGAGGCATCTTAATGGTAGATGGATGGTGCTCAACGAGACTCCACCTGATAATAGACCAGGTAACAGACTGAAGTCAGCAATTTAATAGACCAGGTAACAGACTGAAGTCAGCAATTTAATAGACCAGGTAACAGACTGAAGTCAGCAATTTGATAGACCAGGTAACAGACTGAAGTCAGCAATTTAATAGACCAGGTAACAGACTGAAGTCAGCAATTTAATAGACCAGGTAACAGACTGAAGTCAGCAATTTAATAGACCAGATAACAGACTGAAGTCAGCAATTTGATAGATCAGGTAACAGACTGAAGTCAGCAATTTAATAGACCAGGTAACAGACTGAATTCAGCAATTTAATATACCAGATAACAGACTGAAGTCAGCAATTTAATAGACCAGGTAACAGACTGAAGTCAGCAATTTAATAGACCAGATAACAGACTGAAGTCAGCAATTTAATAGACCAGATAACAGACTGAAGTCAGCAATTTGATAGACCAGGTAACAGACTGAAGTCAGCAATTTGATAGACCAGGTAACAGACTGAATTCAGCAATTTAATATACCAGATAACAGACTGAAGTCAGCAATTTAATAGACCAGGTAACAGACTGAAGTCAGCAATTTAATAGACCAGGTAACAGACTGAAGTCAGCAATTTAATAGACCAGGTAACAGACTGAAGTCAGCAATTTGATAGACCAGGTAACAGACTGAATTCAGCAATTTAATATACCAGATAACAGACTGAAGTCAGCAATTTAATAGACCAGGTAACAGACTGAAGTCAGCAATTTGATAGACCAGGTAACAGACTGAATTCAGCAATTTAATATACCAGATAACAGACTGAAGTCAGCAATTTAATAGACCAGGTAACAGACTGAAGTCAGCAATTTAATAGACCAGGTAACAGACTGAAGTCAGCAATTTAATAGACCAGGTAACAGACTGAAGTCAGCAATTTGATAGACCAGGCAACAGACTGAAGTCAGCAATTTAATAGACCAGGTAACAGACTGAAGTCAGCAATTTAATAGACCAGGCCATGTAACAGACTGAAGTCAGCAATTTAATAGACCAGGTCTAGGTAACAGACTGAAGTCAGCAATTTAATAGACCAGGTCTAGGTAACAGACTGAAGTCAGCATTTAATTTCAGTTTGCATGTTCTCGATTTGTTTAGGGGTCCGGTATCAAGTTGTTTTCTTTCGTTACCTTCATTGTATTGTTTAGAACCACGAACTGCTGAACAAAGAGTGAGGTTGCAAGTGTTTTCTTAAGTTCCACATTTGAGCTTATTTCTGGAGAGTACAATTGTGGAGCTTCTTCGCTCCAAATATATAGTCTGAACAATGATTGATACAAGCTATAATGTGATCACTGTAATGTTTCTAACTGTCTTTAAACCCCAGCTCCACCGGCTCCACCTATCGTCCCTAAAGACATCTCCAAATCTGCTGAATTTCCAGACTCTAAAGACAAACGTTATAACCTGCCCTGAGAAACACAACAGATTATACCATGACTTTATCCAGTCTTCAGACTGCCGTGAGTCTTTTATCTCCAGTTTCAATTTTTTTAATATCACTCACGCGGTTTATATCCTCCCAATGTGATTTATTTAATACACTATATTTTGGAACCTCTATAAACCGCAAAATTTACTACTACTCAATTATCCCAATTCAAGAATGAATCCCAAGAAAAAAGTTCGTTGAATTCCCAACATTCTGAATTTTGTGTTCGTAAGCCTTAACGGCCCCAACGTTAATGTTGCTTTTGCTTTTTGTTGGTTCAGCCGATTTAATTATTATATAATCAAGTTAATTTTTCGAGATGGACCACGTTTTTCCCAATTAAACTTTAGAAGATTGTCACAGGAAGAACTTTTAAGATAAGCATTATATGATATTTGACATTCAACCACTCCTACTGAGTCTAATGACCGAGCTAAGAGGTCGCCGAACGTCTTATTTTAAAGCTGTATCGATCTTCTATACGCATACCAAGAATCAAATGCGTAACTAAAACAGAAATGAGACTACAGAAGTTTTAATTTTTTGTCAAAAAACGAACTTTTAGGGGTGTTTCTAATGACCAGGGTCAGCATCAGGCCCGTCCGGGTACATGAAAGAGCTATTAAATTAAAGGAATGTTTGTAGAAGTCAACATTAAGTTCGAATGCAATTATTCCAAGTTAAGAATAAAAAGTGAAAAAAAAAGACTACGAATCATTTCTACGTAGAGACCATTGAGGCACAGTTTTTGAAAGATGCATTTATATTAATCGCTCATATTTTTCATTGTACTTGAGATAAAAGAAGGAGCAACCAACGCATCACACCTATTCAAATTGTCAATAAATTCGTTGTATCGGAAGATAAAGTTCATTTAAAACTTAGTAGTTGTTTTCTAATCTCTATGATCAGTGATCACACAAGGATGGGATGGTTAAACCTGCTCCTACAAATAATCCTGGTCCTCCTTCTACCTGCCTTGGGATCACTTCCACCGCCAACTAGAGCGGGAACTCTGGAAAAGAACAGTTCGACCAATTTAATCACCGGAATGACTCCACAGATCGGCCTTCTTAAAGACCTGAAGAAATCATGCTATCAGCTACATGAGATGGTTTGCTGTGATGATCCGATCAACCAGTTTCCTGCTGATTCCTTGGAACAATGTGAACAGTACTGCCAGTTTTCTGACCACTGCAACTACTTGGTATTCAAATCCTATACTAATATGTGCACCTTGTTGAAGAATCTTCCAGCTATAGATGTTCACCGCCATTGGGAGTTCACCACCATTGGGGATATTGAGTGTATCAGACCTGTCCAAAGATCACTGGAAGCGAAGTATATTGATTTGGACGAAATGAGAAATAGAATAAATAAGCAAGAAGCCCTCATAACAAATGGAGACACGGGTAAATGTTTAGGAGTTAATAAGACGTTGAATCTCAAGTGGAGTGCATGTTTGGACACTTCATTTTGGATTGTCAACTGGATCGACTCCATCCGGGTAAGGATCAAACACAAGGCTTCAAAAAGTTGCATGGAGGTTTTTCAAGGTGGTTCTGTTCCTGGAAGATCTGTTGTTCTCAGGAATTGCTCGCAATCTACTTTCCAAATATTTGAACTGGTAGTACTAAGGCACTCAATACCAGGTGGCATAATCGATTACTATACATTAGAAATAAACACCAAGTACGATCCAATAGCCCTCTGTCCAGGTTGTAAAGAAACGTTACAAGACTTGGTATTTGACACAGTTCAAACGCTTAAAGAACCATGCCACAAAGGGATACAGATAGATGACGGAATGGTAGTGAAAAACTCATCAGTACCATTCTACCTACCCGGAAGTAACATCACTGTGGCATGTAATCCCGGATACGAGGCTAGGGAGCACAACAACGCCACTACTTACCAGTTCACCTGTCTCAACAACTTTATCAAGCCACCGCCGTGCCAAGGACTGGAAAACACTGCTTCTAGTTATCGCTTTGCAACAAAAACCGCTCATGGAATATTGTTTCCTACCTTCATTCTGATAAATCTTCTGTTTTGAGTTAACCGTGCGATTTTCTTATCTGAAGCTCTTACTCTGAAGACGATTCATTTCGCCCTTATTTAGCATCTATAATCTATATGACTTTATAAGAACAGGCGTTATTTTCATGGGCTATACTTAAATTACGTTACTATTTGCACTAGCTGGTTCAATTGGTGTCATAAATTTCAATTGGAAGAAAGCGCTTAATTTATAGTTTCGATGCGATGTTACCTGACGATAACATTCCAGGTGCGGAAAAAACAAAAGCGTGTTTCGATATTTTGAATTTCAATGCATTATTTAGTCTTGTAAGGTAGGACGTGAGGGAACTTAATAGGGTCGAGTATTTCTTAAGGTTTTTAGAACAGTTGTTGTAGGATGATCAGTGGTTTTAGTGTCTAGGTATAGTATGTGAATAGTATGTGTCTAGGTGTGTGTGTGTCTAGTTAAGCGGAGGGCCAAAGTGTATAATGGCTTGAGATAGTGTTTGTTTCCCCTTTTAATGTTTTAAGAAAGAGTAAATTCTACTCTAAAGCTGTTTTAACATATTTCACCGTTTATTTTAGAACCTTTGTTGCTTCTATTCAGATTAACTTTACATTTCTTATTAGACACACTTCTCACCATTACTTTTCTATCAGACACACTTTTCACCATTACTGTTCTATCAGACACAATGCTGAAATCTGATACAACCAAATAGATTAGTGAAAAAGCCGTTGGAAATGATTAGTGTAGATTAGTAGTTTTGCCGAGTAGGTTTATCTGTAGTTTTGCTTAGTTAGTAGCACGTGTAGGTCTGGTGGGCTGAGGGCAGTGGTTTACACTTTAGAGTGGTGCATCTGCGACGTGCGGTACAGCGTGGTTCTACATGTGGTATCACGTGACGCAGTGCAGTCACTGGTTGCGGGCCCTGTTTGTGGCAGTTCTTGCAGTGACACGTTTGGTTTGGTTTTGGGAAAAAAACCGTTACTCAAGAATAGTGGAAACGTAGCCAGAGCTACACGTTTATTGTTAATTGTTGCGTATTTCGAGAGTTTCTACTCAATTACCAGTTATTCAACGATTCACCTGTTTCCTTTGGTCAATTCTAGTTTATGAATAAAATTCTAGCTATTAGATCGTAATAAATCGTGTTACAGCAACAGATTGCGTGTAAGATTTTGAATTATAGTAGTCAGCGATACTCTATTTATCGTATAATTAACCCCCTGACAGCACTGGCTGCTTGTGAAGGTTTGTGGTTCTATTATAATTGTACAATACTAATTGTAAGTACTAACCGATCGTACCTTCGTACTAATTCTATTATATTATGCTGAAACCGTAACCCTGACGAGAAATTAGATAAACTTCCCTATACGGTCATATCCCGTGATCGAGATATTTTTACCCTATATCATCGGGGCCGGGCTGATTCGGAACCAGCGTCCGAAAATACATCGATTCCTGTTGGTTTCAACTATCGGGGGGCCCTTTTAGAAAAATTTAGAAGATCGAGTGTTGAGTGATTTAGCACGCTCGAAATCTATGAGCCACCTGATTACAATTCAAGTAATATATCACGTTCGCGTTGTCCCTATGGCAACTACAAAACTTAAAGGTAATATTAGGCAATTGATAGACAGTAACTATTAGAACGCTTTTCATCGTAGAAGAAACTGTGCAATGTGCTTGCTAAGTAAGCTACTTTTTATGTGTACGTGCTTACTGCTCAACGGTGAGGTTTATCAAGCATATGTTTGCTGCCTTCTTACTGCTCTGGCTCGCTGAATATAAGATGTTCTTGTTTTATGCAGTTATCTTTCTTATTGCCTACTAATACTAAGCAATCTTCTATTTTTCTTAAACTCTAGTTTAGATGTTTGATTTGACGTTTTGTTTGCTGTAACTTTTCTTACCATATTCATTGAGTTTCTCGCACATGAACGATCTTTCGAGTGTTTATATTATATTGACTAATGACGTGAACCAACATTAATCTATGCTTTGAAGGTGAAATGTCAAGGGTGGTCTCGAAGGATCTCTTCCACTTCAAGCCTACTGGTAAACTTGATGACGATGTCAACGCGATGGAAAATCAAGAGGAGCTGATAGAGTCGTCACCGGAGATGAAGGAGATGTTTGAGAAGTCACTCGAGCTGATAGAGAATCACGATGATGAATCTAACAAGGCATTTGTGGATATGATGCGCGGACTATGTGCCCCCTATGCAGATATACTCAAAGCCAGTGATAAGTTCACTGACAGTGTCGAGCAAACGATCACAACTTCAATCACAATCCCAACTTCACATGATGGAAATTTTGATGTGCCTGTTGAAGTTTACACTCCTAAAGATCTGCAGGGTGGGACAAAAAACTGCGCTTACATCTACGCTCATGGGGGAGGCGCTATAGCCATGGCTGCTTCTGATTTCGACGCCCTCTTGAAGCATTATGCTGTGGAATTCAAGGTTGTTGTGTACAACGTTGACTATCGCATTGCACCAGAAACGCGGTGTCCAAATAACGTCAAGGATTTTTACGAAGCCGTCAAGTACATAAGCAAGAATGGTGAGAGTCTGGGGGTGGATCCTGCTAAGATTGTCATCGCTGGAGATAGTGGCGGGGGCTACATCTGTCTTGGTACCATGGTCATGCTGGCTGAAAATGATGAAAGTCATCTAGTCAAACTGGCTATACCTGGTGTTCCTATGGTAGATGATTACTGTTTCTCTGACACGCAAGCCATGACAAAGGAAGAACGAAATAATGCAGCCTCGTTTAGGAAGATATGGAAATATTGTATAGCTGCTGATTGGGAGGAGCAGAAGACCAGTCCTCATCTGTTCCCGGGTAAGGCTAGTGACAAGCTGCTGGAGAAATTCCCTCCTACAATTATAATGGAGTGTGAGTTTGATCAGTACATTACAGAGGCTACCAGGCTTGCTGGCAGGCTACGGAGGGCTGGTAGGCTGCTGGAATTTGTCGTAATTCCTGGGGCTGGTCACGCCAGCAGTCTAACTCCTAGTTTGAAAAGTAACCAGGTGTTCTTTGATACGTTGAAGACCATTGCGAGGGAATATATCCACACTCAAGAACTTATTGTGGCCGTCAAATATGAGTTCAATACTTAAATTGGGAATTTCAGGCGATCTGATGAACAATACTGGACAATGGGCCATTAGGCTTAATGCTGGGCCACTTTGATATATTCCTTATTTTCAAAGTAAATTCCGTCGGTTGCTGCTGCCCGTTCGAATTGTGATAAAAAGTCAGTACGCAGAAATCATGACAGTTTCACTTATCGTCACTTACTTTTCATTTGTGTTAGGTTGATATCCTCATATTATGTTATCTTATACAATTAATAGATAAATTCGTAAAGCTCCATACAATCCTTGGAGACCAAAGTTATGGGTTTTACTGTTTTCATAAAACTCGTACGTACAAGAATGAGGGGAACAATTAAAATCACAAAACTTCGGATAACATAACAAAAATTCAGAAAATTAAATTCTCTACGTCATTGGAGATTTAAAATCGTGTTAACAAACCAATTGTTCGTCCCCAGGCTAACATAGACGTGATGTTGTTTGGTAGGAGCTCTGCCGCTGAACTTCTCGACCTTATTGATGAGATTAAAATCAGACAATCCGACAATAATTCATGGATTATTCACCTCAAACACAAGGGTACAAATTTAATTTCCAACGATCAAAACCAGCTCTGGCTTGAATCAAGTTATTTCTGTCATTTATGTCGCGTCTTTCGAAAACTTAACATATTTGCATCATTAACTATTTTAATTCTTTGTTACTGTTTATATTAAAGAATGTCTCATTTCAGGTCAGGATTTATCGTATAGAGTATTACTTTCCATCTACAGCACATTAAACTCAGATCCTAACGGTTTATTGCTCGGAGAATTCGATAACGTTTACCAACGATTGTAAGTTTAACCACTGTTTTAGACTACCCATTATAATCATAAATGCAGTCTATTCTGTTTTATTAGATATTGAGATAATTTCGATTACGGTATGAATTTCGATTACCGTACATGAAAAATATATCAATTCAACTTTATCAACCAATCACAGTTCACACCACGTGACACAAACTTACCAATCAGAACAACTCATTTTCCATTTTGATACTAAGTTCAAACTTCACGCTATTCTTCAGAAATAGTCGGAAACTAATAGCAGCAGATTACGGTTACAAGTCACTGTGGCACATCTTCTTTAACTACAGTGAGATGGTATCAATGACACGCACCAATGGTGAGATATCTTCAAACCGGATAAATGAATACGAGGAATCCTTTAATTAGCCAATTAGCTAAATTATGAAATTATCCAGTAATAATAGATATCATTTTCTTACAGCTTCAACCATAGTATTGAATATTTGCAACATCATTCGCGAGCTTATTATTTAGAACAATCAGTAATAATTGTCGTGTAACTCGAGTCATATAACGCTAATTTTCACACTCGCAGCTGGACTGTTGTTGATCGCTGAGATAGCCCCAGAGGCCCCTGCCGCTCCGCCTGGTTTCTCTGAGCCGCGCAATGGCCCCCTCATGTCTGGAGCAGCAGCACAACATTATATATCACCTGAACAGAATCGGGCATCTTCTTCAACAGGACAGACGACATCCTACCAGAAAAAGGAAACCTCTTTGAAGGGACAAGCAGCTGTTGATAGACCTGTGCTGACTGGAAAAGAGGAGATATCACTCGGCTTTAGGGTAAATTGTGTGATCGGTAACCTGTTAAATGTAATTGCTCATGTTCTTAGTTACTCATACTGTGCAGATATAATTTATAGAGTTCTTATTGTATATTATATACAATAGTATATATAATTATATAGTTGAAACTTGAACTATAAGAGATTGATCATGTGATACACTGGTTATTGTTTACGAGATGCTTCTTATAGTTGATACTTGCTTTTCATAGCAACTTTACATCATATCATTGAACTTTAATAGTCTCTTCAGGTTTTTGTGAGACTTGTGTACAAGTCGTATAGCCAAACTATATTCAGAGTATGTTCTTAGCGACTGCTTTGTTTGTTATAATAGCAAGTTTTTCTGTTTCAGGATTTCCAAGCAGATGGAGAATTTGTTATCATTTATATAAAGGAAATATACTCACCGAACGAGTTTTACGTGTGGTTCTACAAAGATTCGCCTGAAGCGACGGAAGAATACAAACAGTTCTTTCAAAAACTAAAGTATGTGATAATTAAAGTTAAATAAGGCGAAGTGTTAGTAACGCTGTATCCGGTACCTCCCGATTTAAGCTTCTATTTTTTTATATATTAATTTAACTGCTTGTAAGATTGTTTTTCCGTGATAACTGATAAGGTATACTGATTGTTGGACATGGAGGAATCGTGATATTATACATCTCATCACAACTTGTTCAAATTTCAATCACCTAATTTTCCAAAACTATTTTTAGTCAGTTCTACAATGTGAGGATGAACAGAGTGAAGCACAGTCTCTCACCACCCTACAAAAAGGATCAATTGTGTGTATATCGAGACGAACACGATCGTTATCACAGAGCGGTAGTGGAGTCTACAATTAACGCAGATATTGTTGCCGTTCGTGCCGTCGACACTGCTGAGAAATCACAAGTTGCGCCTGCGTGCTTGTTCAGGATCAATGATCAGTTTCGACTGGTCAAATCTTTTACTCGACGGTGTGGGTTGTGCGATATTCGACCCTTCAATAGCAAGACTTGGGACGATAAAAGTCGGGATGTCTTTGGACCAAAGCACACTGATAAACTGTACTACGCCAAGATCATGTTCGAGTCAGATCAGGTTCGTTTTACTACTTATTAAGAATGTACATTATGTTGAATTAGCTGTTAACGCTCGCGCTTGGTCGGATATAGTAATAATATGTGATCAGTGATCTGTGACTCGTTGCAATCTCCTACATGGGTAGTCTAACCCTGTTTGACTGTCAGATGTGGGGACTTTGCGGCACGCGCGAACAACAAACGTGAATCATTTTATGAAAGTGTAGCCGGTGACTACCGGAGATATGCGCGTGAGCACGCGCGCGCAGCTAGCTTAGCTTTATAGCGATCGCTCTGGCTGATCGTGTCCTACCGCGGATGGCTGGCAGCTAAGCGATTTAAGTTTAAAATTATTCACCTGTCAAGTGTCACTGTGTCAGATTCACCTGTCAGTGTGTTGCAGTACCCTGCGAAACATTCAACGTGACGGAAGATTGCTACTGCACTGCAATAACACTATGATTAATCATCCTGTCACCCCACGCTTTTAGTTTGTCTGGGTAGTGATCCAAAGAGATGGATAAATGCGAAGAGAGTTTTCTGTCACAACCCACATTTCAAAAGACGTATTTTTCACAGGAGGTCGAACTGAACGTTATAGATACGCACGATGATGAAGATAGACACTTTAGTGATGTCTTGGTAGCTGTGGGATCTGCAGAGAACATCTCTCCTACTAATGGTGTTATTAACAACGCCCCATCAACTCCAAATGACAGCTTCACTGTAGATGACGACGACGAAGATGATGACGATGACTGTGAGTTCACATTTTTCACTCAGCGATATTATGTTCTGTACATGATGACCACTTCTTTAATCATAATATTGGTATATATAATATACGCTTTATACATGTGATATATATTTTAAGTACAAGACCTCCACAGGGTTGAACGATTGGTTGGCGGACGAGGACACACCGACTATTGATAACAGCCACATTAACATATCCTCCCTCCACGTTGACAACCCAGTCCCCACACCACAAGTTACAAACCCTCCTCAAACTTCCAATCTCTGGGACGCCCCGCTTCTCCCTAACCATGTAAGAACTTTCTGTAATCATTTTAGGATATCTAACAAGTAACAATGAGCCACGCTGCACGCTCAATCAGTGATAATTCATGGTTTCTTGGGGGTTTCTTGCCCACATTCCTGTGATGTGACATTTTGCTTTTTTAGGGCGGTGCAAATAATTCGTCTTCTGAATTTCTGAAGAATTTAATGCAAGTCAACAGGAAACGATGAAGAAAAGATCCAAATAATGATCAATCTTCAACTCCCTGCAAAGTGAGAGGAACAAGATAAAGAACTGATAGGGATGGGATATTTGTAAATAGATAAAATATACGCAATTCTATTTTGTGTTAATATAAACAATTGTAACTGTTAAATTAAAGAATTTTGGGGAATATGCACGCAATTCTCTATATCATTTGGACTGAATTGTATTGTTTTTTTTTCGTTCAATGCTAGGGTCTTGCTAGTGCTCAAGTTTTTCGAACAATCACCGACAAGTGTTAACGTTTTTATAATTTTTAGATCTTTCCAATTTTTTCTTAATTATTTTCATTGTACCAGGATTAAATCTGATTTTGGACACAGGCCACAGCAAAACACTTTTGTCATTTTTCTAAAAATACTATAAATTTAGGATAAAAGTTACAACAAACGGATAAACACATCATATCATCAGCTCGTTTTAAGTGTACGCAATATCAACCACGTAATAAGTGTTCGTGATATATTACCAACCATGCATGGAGTGGATCGAGTTCTCGTGGTGGTTCAGAACGATAAATATTTGCTATACCTCTTCGTAAATTGTAAATATTTCAAATAAATATTGTACGGGTATCATTCGTTAAGGAAAACATGGGCGTCCTTTCTTCACAGTTCTTTGGAATAAATTTGTTCTTGTAAGTAATTGCTCTTGGCAGGGTCCGAGTGTTCAGTTCCTTCTCATGTACGGGGGAAGTCTACAAGATTCTATAGACTCAGCATTGTACCACCTACACTTCCCTTTGTCATCTTGAGCGCAGTAAGCAGCGGTATCCTTGCACATTCCTCGGAGTACTTTTCTGTTTACCCTCATCCGACACGCCTGTAACTTGCAGTCACAGTCATGGTTCTTCAGCACTGGTTCCACTTGGTCCCATTCCCAGCCTCCAACCACAAAGTTGAAGGAACAGAGGCCCATCTTGGCTACCTCCAGACTGTTGGTTGAAAGAGCGAACTTCTCTCCGGGGGTCAGCCAGGCACCAATACCGCACATGGAGTCCATCATGCCACTCTCCAGGATTATATCCGTGCCCAGTTCTCCTTTTCCTTTGTAGAAGTGGAGGATCTTGGCTCGTACTCGGCGGATCCTGTACCAGTCCGTGGTGGTTGTGGTCGGCATGTCGGTAGTGAGAGGCGGCCAAACATAGGAGTCCACGTCGCCCTGGATAATACAATTATTGAAAGATTCTGGATATGGGAAGCTGACTTAATGTGAATTTTTACTTACTAACTTTGTGTTACGAAAGAAAAGAAATACATAAAAGAGGCCGAGGATTGTTATCGAAGCTGCCGGAAATTCCAATTGAAATGGACTTGAAATTACGTACCTGGTCATCATCATTAAATGATTCCTTATCATCAAGATCCTGTTCTATCTTCACCTTGATGATGTACTTTACTCTGTCGTCACAAACCTCAGCATTGTACCTCCTTCGGGCACAGGAGCAGGAATGTGCCACGCCCACCAAACACGCTAGTAGCAGCAAAAGTAACGAACTCATTTCTGTATTGGGTAGGAGGTTATTTTTCAGTACAAAAAAGGGGGGGGGGGGGGGCCAACCATATTAAAGTATATTAAAGTATATCCCCGGGTCAAAATCGGAAAAAATCCTACATTTTAATATACTTTAATATACCTACAATTAGAAGATTTATATTCTTCGTTAAGATTTACATGATGAACTATATTTTTCACTCAGATTCGCAAGATAAGCCTGTTTTAGGACTAGTACATGAATTTCCATCCAGATTGGTCAAAAATTGGCTGAGCTATGAGCTTTAAAAAGTATGCCCATATTTGGGCATACGCTTTTGCCCAAATTCGCTTTTGACCAAATTCGATAAAATTTCAATATTTTTTAATGAGACTAACTCTATGTGAAAGATATAACTCAGTGTTTGTTGAATATAGTGGATACTAAGTAAAAAGACCTCCATGAACAAAATTGGGAAAATTGCACATAATATCTCGGTTCGGAATACTAGCCAAAATGACTTCATTAAAATTGAAATAACTCCATCAGTTTTCAATATTTTTTCAAGAACTTTTTGGAATAGATTAAGAATTGCATTTCAAGCTTATTTTGGGCAACAATTTTTGAAGTAGGCCTCCAAGGAGATAGGGATATTAAAGTATATTGTAGGTATATTAAAGTATATTAAAGTATATCCCCGGGTCAAAATCGGGAAAAATCCTACATTTTAATATACTTTAATATGGTTGGCCCCCCCCCCCCCCCCCCCCCCCCCAAAAAAGATTCTAGATAAAATCAAGACCAACTTCACAAGAACAGTTGCAGTAAATTTTACAATCCAAGTAACATATTCAGTCCGAGATCGTTTTGAAACTTTCAAACGTGGTCTACGAAACATTGAGCATAAAAATAAGAATTATAGCTTATAAGTTAAAAATCCCGACCAACGGAGATTTGAGGTATAATTAATTAAAATCAACGGCTTATCTTTCGTGTTTGATTAGACTAATTGCAACATGAAAATTATCAAAATTATATTTAACCGTAATATTAGAAAGTGGAAGGAGCGTACAAACAAAATGTTCTATTCTTAGTTGTAGTACTGGTGGGGCTATTGCCAAAAATCAAAACGAATCCGCATGAGCAAAGTCAAATCAAATCAAATTGCTACTGAAGCTTTCTAAAACGAAGGAGGTATAATATTTCATTTGATTGGATTTTATTACATACAAACACATGTCATGACTAGTTATTGTAAGGCGATCTAATCGTTAGAATCTCAAGTATTAATACGTCAAGGAAATGTGGCCATATAACGGGACAAAGCGGACCAGCCCCCAACTAATCCTTCAGGGAGACTAGTGATTAATGATCTGGGATGAAGTGAGGAATTCTAGAGATTGGATTAAGGATTGCAAATTAATGGTGGTCAGAGTTCGACAAGCATTCAGCTTCGTGGTGACAAATAAGAGGGTGGTGGAATTTAAACTTTGGACGAAATAATACAAATTCTGACATGCAATGCAAAGTGTTCAAAAAGCAGCATTCCTTCACACCGAAGTTATCAACTGGTCTGATGCTTCTTTAGATGCAGCAGAGTATTGGCGATGTCTTAATTTGGGAAATTTAGTTAAACTCTGCTTGATTTCGTTAGAGTTAAGAATTTCCTATTATTTTATCACGTCAAGCGGTTACAAGAGAATTAATGGCGGTTTAAGACTGAGAAATTGACAAAGCTATTTAAATGAGCTGTTGAATTGTGCACGTCATGGTAATATTATAGTTGGAGCCGGAAGCGAGCTAACAGCAAAAGTCTGTGTTTCCTGTAAAACGTTAACTACGGTGTCCTAAAGATACAGCCTCGTTACCAAACTTTATCATGTAGACAAGGAAGAGTCTAATCTGATTATGGTTCGGCCTAGTAAATAGTAATTCAAAGCAAAGTGTGGGGCAGGGCAGGTTGCCAAGGGCAAGCCCATAAATCTGCAAGTGAGAATAAAAGCAGACAATAAAAACTCCTAGTCCTACGAAATCTGATTATATAACGATAAAACCACATTATATCCTTTTATTTTTACCATGGTTCCTGGTACATGTTTTCAACAACGTATTCAGTGACGAAAATACTAAACATAATCCTATAATAATGACACAATTGCAATTATCAGCGAGTATTTATATATCAAACATTCTAGCATCTGATAAACCACACGTCATCTGGCCCCACCAAGTACAAACTTCTTTGCTAAGGTTTAACACTGTCACACAAAATGCGTCATCTTACTCCCGCCATGACATGAACAGCTGTGATTTACGTAAAACCTTCGGGGAGGTTCCCTATCTGTATCCTTATTTTCGGAGAGGTTCTTAATTTAATGGTGATATTACTTCCCTTATCTGTATCCTGATTCGTAATCTTATTCTCAGTAAATGTATTTGGAATGCACTGTCACTGACCACTGGTAGAACTAGACGTAAACTGTAAAGTAATCCTGCTGAATCCGGTTTAATTTTACATGATCCCTGATTATTCGGGATGAATAAATCTTGAAAAAGTGAGGATCGTGTAAAACTGATATAATGTAGTAAAAGTTAGTATTATATAATACTAGAAAGCCCGTGGTCACAGGGAGGAACCTAATAGTATTCTTTGGAAGTCAGTTTTAATCGTGTCAAAAAGTATTCATATTTCATCCCCACCGAAGATACAGCCAAATAAAATGTTGCTGCGCTCGTACTAAACACAGCGTAGCCGTAATATCAACAAAACCGATTAAAATGACGTTAAAACAATCATTGCACGTGCACGTCCGTGTAACAATCCTCGTTACTATGGTTACTACGCAACTACCTATTTCTCGTCTGATTTGCACGTGGGCGGTCGTAAATACATACAAAGGGAATTCTTTGAATTATAATAGAGATACAGTTGCAATAGTAGGAGTATAATACTTGAAGTTTCAGAAAACCAATTTGTATAGGAAGCTCTGATGTGTGATGATAGAAGTCTATGTGGTAGTTGAATTGATGCTCATGAATTGCCATCGGAGTATCAGTGACATTATAATATGAGTATACGTTACACGCTCATTGATATAATTATAAAACTAAACTTACATTATTCAAACAAAATCGCGCAAATAGAACTCAAACTCAAAGATAAAAGAAAGGAGTACATAAAATATCGGGAGCCAACTGTACTAGTACAATAAAGATTCAAAGCTACAGAAAATACAACACTATTCTAGCCTACTTAGCACCTTTTAGAAGCCTAGCCGCGTCTTTAATATGGGCTTGGCCTTTTCAAGAATTCCGAGAACGTATCAGTATGACACTATGACGTCTTCAAATAGCTTTCCACCCACTTTTAATGACGTCATAAGAACTTAGATCTAACCGGGTTTTGCAGTAATACTGCCTGATTTGTAGCATCATGACGATATCAATGATGGTATCATGAAAATATTCGCTCTTTGAGCTAATGTTCTCGAAGTAGCGCATGACGTGATATACAAAACTGAAAATTGAAAGTAAATGTTAACCTATCCTTACATTTTTTGTGATAATCTTCATTAGTGATCCTGTTCTGATACACTGCCATCTATGATTGAATCATATTTGCATATAATGCGATATGATATATGATAATATCGATTTTCATCAGTATCACTATACTGAGTAGTATTGGAAGAGACCTCGTTTTGAAATTGAATTTATTGTGATATCAATAATATATTATTAATATATATATATTATATATTAATAATACTTAATATTATTTATCTGATTATCATAATATATTATAAATCTACAATAATTTGTTCGTGACAAATGTTGGATATTTACATTCAGGTATCCAAACTCTAATACTCAATTCATCATATCATTTCATGATTGAACAATGGACAACTTCATTTTAAAGATAAGAATTTAATTTGGTTGTATAGTTTGTACAACAAAATATTATCATAAATTTATACGGTACCACTTTATAAACAGGTGCACTCTCAATATTATAGTTGTATTGTGCCTGATACAAAATATCAATCCACTATCTGCGCTTTTATGGAAAGATGGACTGCAATTTTCGACATCAATACCAAGTAAAAATGGTAACGTCGATAATGTCTTAACACTTGATCACTCTAAAAATATCCAGATGATGACATCTCTATTATAATTTTATGAACATACTTTATCATAAGATCGTCAAATACTTCAAGCTATATACATCATTATCCGCAGCATTTTTACTTTAATTCTATAACTCCGCAGTCCGCAATAATTGGATACTATAACACTACTATTAACAAACGCTCAACCTTGCAAAGCTCCACTGCAATCAAATAGTAATAAGTTATGAACATGCATTATTTCAGCAGTACAGCAGTCGCTTATGTTGGCAGTGTAGTTTACTAATTTCGGACAGTTTTGGAAAATCATGACCACGTCGAAGAAAAAGCGGGTTTATAAAATTCTTTCAGGATAAGATTTAAACGAACCCTTCTCCCACATCCAGAAAGGCGGCCTGATAATCTGCGAGGCAATGTTTGAGGAAATTTGGTGCCAAAAAAGACATTTTTAGAGGACCTGACCTTTTTATTTTAAAGGAATAACAAACATTTTAGGGAGGAAACATTGATCTGCGAGGAAATTAAAAACTTTCTGTATGTGGGACCCTTCAAGCTGTATTTAGCTGAGGTGTCGAGTGGTCACTAAAGGACATGTACTTTTAAACTCAAACCCATATTAAATCCCAACTTCACCTCTACTTATTAAGGAAACGTGGATATAAATATACTGAATAGGTACGGTAACAAATTAATCAAATTTAAATTATATAAATCGTGGCCGAAAAGCTTTCTAACAAAACCGATGCCTTTATTCTCACACAAACCCGTTTAACAATTATTAGTTTATATAGTTTAATGTTACATAATATTGTAATATGTATACTCCTGTGCGCAAACGGTATAAATAACAGTTAAAATCACAGTAGGTCGTTCACGGGACTTTATTAGGATCTGAAGAGACTTTGCCAAAGAGATTCGTGTGTGATGGAGTTTAGTTATTTCCTGTGTCCCTCAGGGTAGTATGCTGGGACCGACTGTGTCCGCTTCTGCTTGAGCTCCCTGTAGGGAATACGATTAATTTGGAGTTGAACATGAATTTCCGGCATTGATCTTTCCGAATTTCAGGGAAAGTGTCTACGACGCCTATTCCTACTTTGAAGGATTATTATTATAACCTACCAAGACGCGCTCAAATTGGACTCGTCGAGTGTCGACGGTATAATATTTGGAACAAATATTTTACGAGTATCAGTGATACTATCACCCGTTAACGCCTACTATGTAAATACTTTATACTTTCTATTGATAAGAAAAGGGAATTTCGGAATATGGTGGGAAACTCTCATCAAAATTACAGCGTGTGCCAAAATTCACTGCTTACACCTTTAAAAGAGATATGAACCCAGATATTGGTCTAGACTCTAGAGATATGAACCCAGATATTGGTCTAGACTCTAGAACCAGAATTTCGTCAGATTTTCTAGACTAAATCCCTGTGTACTGACCATCTGTAAGGACGGGTGCTCCAAAGAAGCCTCCTCCTTCACATCTGCCAGATCGTGCTGTTCTTGTGAGCTGTACACATAGTTGGACCGGTCCAGGTCGAGGGGCTGCCCCGGGTTGAAGATGAAGCGAGTACTCCCCAGTCTGTAGTACTGGATGAAGATGTCGTACCTGGGTGAGACAACTATCAGGAGAATTACGCTAAAAGGGGGGTGTGGCTTTCTGGGGGCGGGGGGTCGTGCGTGACCTTCTAAACTAAACATTATATAGCATTAATATTATGATTTATATTAACGTGTTATCTTCTAAGCTTAAAAAATTAACAGATTTAAAACTGTTATTAGCCAACATTGGACTAATACCAAAATTGGTCCAATGTTTATATAACTAAGTTAACATGTTCGTCATGTTGCTCATTATATTTATTTGCAGTATGTCATTTAAGAGAGATACTGGCATCGGTCCACCCAATTATGGGTTTTGGTAAAATATATATACTTCACAATAAATATATGTACTTCACGACAATATGTCTTAAAACAGGGGTTCCGATTTTAATATGACATGAGGGGTGAATATTTTGCTACCCATTGGTCTTGTGGATTGTGAAGGAAGACGACTTTTGATACCGTTGTGTATAAGGAAGTTTTTTTGGGTGGTTTTATAACGTTTGAGTGTTTTTTTGCAGCTGGTTCAACGTGTTTTTTAATTTTAAGATGAAAAGCTGTAGCATGATCGGCGGAGAAAGATCTGGGTCAATCGTAAGGAGTGGCGCTAAGCCTCTGTACCACTGCCAGTCTAAGTTAAGGTTCTTTTGTTCTTGGAAGGCCAGTGAAACAAATGAGCCGTCGTCGGCCCAGAGTAGGTGGCTGATTAATTGATTAAGAAGTCTCGGGCAGTTTTCATGGTCTAGCTGAGGAGGAAGATCTCTAATGTATATCTTGAAGAGATCTGGAGAAAGTGGGTGGCCTTGTTCAGTTCCTTTGCTAATGCCAAGCTTTTCGTTGACAAATCCAGATAGTTTAATTTAACCTGTGCTATTTTTGTACATGTGATTTAAGACGTCAAATGTTTTACCGGTTATACCTAACTTTGCTAGTTTAGTAGTTTTAAGAAAGGTTCTTCGCGACAGACTGAGTCAAAGGCTTTTCGAAAGTCGACAAAAACAGCGTTTAAAAAAATGAAACAGCTTTTTCATTTTTTTGTACTTTAATGTAATGGTGTTTAGCGTTAATATATGGTCATATGTTTGGGCACCTTTAGCGAAACCAAGTTGATTTATTGGGTCTGGCTTATCTTCGTTTTTGAAGTTAATAATTCTATTGAGTATGATGGTAGAAAAGAGTTTCCCAATGAAAAAGTCTCCATTTTATGCCATTGGCCCCCCCCCCCTCCCCCCCCCCCAGTGCTGTCGCGTATTTTATGCAAATTTCTTTGAAATCTCCACATTACTATTTCATATTCCTGTCATCTTTGACATTGAATGAGAATGTTTAAACTAAAAATGTTTTCAACTTAAAATATACCTACTGAACGACTAATCATGAGTCTTAATTAATGCCTCGAGAAACAGTAAAGGGGTATAATAGTGGGAGGTATAAGGGCGACAGTCGTGCTTGTGATATGTTTAAGATAAGCTAATTATTTTCGAAGCTGTCATTAAGACAGCTGATTTTTAATGGAAAAGAATAATCAAAATAATCTTCCAAACTTTTCCGAATTTCCAGAATAACAAGAATTTCGCCGCGGTTAAACTTAAACCACGCACGATCAATTTTCCCTACGATGTACTTCTAGTTCTACCATTAATTCTTTTGAGTGAAAAGTGTGACTGGAAAAAAAGTGCAACATATTTACATACTATGTTTTTTATAAATAAGTGGGATTCGTGCATGGTAAAAATTGACGATTTATTTGATCAATGTAGCGCCGCGCATCAACAACAAATGAATCCAGAAAATTGCGGAAAATAACTTTGCGAAGGAGGAATTTTACTGTCATTAATTAACGCATGGCTAGGGCTAGCGTCGCGCGCAGCATAACAGACTCTTCCTATACACATAATTATAGGGGAGTGGTCTATATTGCGAAGGAGCAGACTTTTGTCATCAACGCAGGGCCGTCGGACCATCTCATATATCCAAACCCGATTACTTATTCATTATTCCCTCCGATCTTTTTGCCTTCGGCAAGAGTAGGGAAAAAATTAGCTTAGAACTGTTTGAATATTTGTAAAGGTATTTTCGTTTCGTTTTGTGACTCCTCTAAAAAGTAAAGCCATGAAACTTAAACAGTGTTTAAAGTGTAAGCTCAGCCACCTGGAACCAGTACTCTGACTGCATTATCTGTATTGTTGCTTCTACACCATTCCCGTTATGGTGTCGTAAAGATCTCTTATTAACTAAGACCTTATTACTTATTGTAACTACATACTACTACTACTACTACTACTACTTATACTCTCTCATTAGATAGAGAGAAGCCATCTCCTATTCCTTCCCTAGTGTGGTTATTTCCATTGATTACATTCAGCCTGTTCCGAGTTTGGGTTGCAACTGTTATAGTGTTATATGTATGATTGACGATTTATAATTTATACAACAATTTTATATTTAACATACACAGCATTCAAATCAGAGGCAACATGTAGGTGCAGGTAATTTTTTGTAAATATTGCGATGCCACAAATTTGCAGCCTTTAAGTAATTTCAGGTTGTATTATTGAACAGAGAAGTTGCCTTACACGATTGTTGTGTTTAACAGACAATTCAAGATGTATCCTGGGTTTGTTGCCTCTGATCAAAATTTAATATTTATAGCATGTATTAATACATACATGTAATAGTATCAACGCTCCTTATTCGTTCTCTAGTTCTTTGTTTAAATTGTTAACCAAATGAGTAGAATTAAAAAGCAAACCTTCCCTCTGATAAGTTAAAATACTTTGTTTAAGAATTGGAACTTGCGTTTCCTAAAACTTTCGTGTTACTTCACATATGAACTCAATCTCACACGCATTGGTTTCATTAATATATTGCTGTTGCATTTGCAATATACACACAAAAAGTCTCTAGTTCTTTGTTTAAATTGTTAACCAAATGAGTAGAATTAAAAAGCAAACCTTCCCTCTGATAAGTTAAAATACTTTGTTTAAGAATTGGAACTTGCGTTTCCTAAAACTTTCGTGTTACTTCACATATGAACTCAGTCTCACACGCATTGGTTTCATTAATATATTGCTGTTGCATTTGCAATATACACACAAAAAGTCCCAGTTACAGGATGTAACAAGTATCTAAAGGTGAATATGCGGCAGTTAATATAACCACGGTACACTGTTTAATTGTAAATCTAGAGTCAAGTCTAGAAACACAGATGTTCAGACTCGGACCAGTTCACTGCGTTCAACTCAAATGTAATCTAATAAAATATAAGGAGACATAAAGTATTAACAGATGGCCCAGTAACTTAGTTTTCAGTTTCCAGTCCCTTAACTTAATTGTCTGTTTTCACAGCATGAGTAGAAATCGTGATATAAAAAGGGGCGCTGCGTTGAGCAACCTCAATTGCGAGTTAAATCCGAGCTGTTATTGAATTAAACAGGAGCTATTTAAGGTTTTCTTTGTTTTCCCAGATTAGATGGGATCTCTCGTAAAATTGAATTGACGAATTCGTCATGTCTCAGATTTTAGTTGTACTGTTGTAGTGATGACGGTAATCTTAACAAAACCATCATTTTCTGTTCATCTACGTTCATGTAAATCTATTATCTGCAAAATTGACAGACTGTTGCGTAAGACGGCAGATGGAGCTATCTCATGGTCTAAAAATTTGTTGGTGTATGAGGTTTATTGCATGAGCCATGAAATAAGTTAATTACTATACATATCACATACATTTGACAATTGTACTTTTATCGGCGGTGTCAGAACTGTAAATGCAACTCAAGATTGAAATAAAACACTTCTTATCAACGAATTAAGTTTAAAACCATGTAAAATTCTAAAATTATCTAAACTTCTTCAATAATTTCGGCGACCTCTTTTTCTGACATGTGCATTATTCATTTTGTATTATTTCACATTTTTGCCATTATCAACAAATTCAGATAAGGTTTTCCAAAAGAGCAGGAAATGTGTCTGAAGACTCAATATAGACTATCGGAGTTTCTAACGCTATGTACCATCTTAATAGTGTCATTTAGTGGTAGTCTAACGGCAGCCGTCAGGTTAGATTATTAAAAATCCTGTAGTTAAAAAATAAACTTAATTGTTGGACGCATTTGGCTTCATCATCAGCCCTGAATCAGCGATTAAATCAGTTCCTCTTCAAAATATATCACCTATCTATTCGTAGCCAGACCCACCCAATACATTGGGAGAAAGATTTTGAAAAGAAAATTATCCTCTAATTTGGGAAAACAAGTATTCAAATCTATTATTTTCAGGTACGGTTTCCTAGCAGATAGCTTCGCTCAGAAATCAGTGGAAGGAAAGTATATCGGTATGATTGGAGGAAGCATGTTTTGCGGGTTCCTGCTCTCCTACCTTACTAGAACCACCGAGCTCCTCCTCAGCCGCTGCACCCCAAAAACCCTCCTCCAACTTGACCAATGTCTGAACTTGATATACCCCGCCGGATGTATTCTCTCCTACCACTACCCTCTAGAAAAATCCTGGCTAGTGAGCCTGAACATTGCTCTGAGGATTTACAATGGTTTCCTGGGATACCCCCGTTGTCTACTCCTGATTGATCTGACCAGGTCACAATTCGGCCGGGATTTCGACAGTGTGAACTCTCTGATCCAGATGGGGGTGTATGCTGGTCATGGGGCAGGAGCTGCAGTGGGGAGTGGACTATACGATACATACGGCTACAACGCTCCCTTTTACCTGGTCACTGCAATGTTGCTTCTCCCTATTATCCTGACCTCAGCGTTCGTACCGAACTGTCAAAGTCACGTGATATCAGGAGAAGAGGAGAAGGGTGCCCTGATTAAGGAGGAAACATCGGACAGTGAGAACGGAGAAGTTACACTCGTATACGGGACATGGTCCGATAAGGAGAGCAATGCCCAGCAAGCCGGACTATCGCCGCTAATATTGATTCCGCTGATAAGCACTATGCTGGTTAACATTGTGTACGGGTACCTACAGATAACCATTACTCCCTACCTTAACCTTTATTTTGATGTCAGTATCAGTGCTGGAGGTTGGGTTTTGTGGACTGTCTCGGTTGGAATGGTTTCAGGGAGCCTGATGTCTGCCTACTTGATGAAGGGACCTAAGATATCACCTTACACCCAGATGGCTCTGGGGTCAGTGTTCGTTGGAGCAGGAATTCTCCTGATGTTCCCAGTAGAATATATCACTTTTCTGTACGATAACTCTCCCTACATTGCCTTTCCAGCAGCGTTTCTAGCTGGATTTGGAGACCCTCTGATCACCATTGCGACTCTCACAGCAATGAAAAGTGTTCAGACCAAAAGGAATGGGAGGATTACTCCTGATCAAGAAATTTTAATCGGAGGAACGTGGCTCATTGGGTTTCTAGCCTTTTGTTTTGCAGGGCAAGGATTAGCCGGCTTTATCACGGAATACTTAAAATATTGGTGCGGGGCTTTGATACTTTTCGGGATGTCCTTAGTTAGTTTTATTATTTCTTGTGGGCTGTATATTAACTGTCAGATATAAAGTTTTGAACGTGTTGGAAGCTAGGAGTCAAGTGTTTTAAAAACTTTCAATACGTTCAATTGCTGCTTTTATTTTAGAAATTAATAATTAATGGTCAAAGTCCAAAAGCTACATACATAATACATATAATATATTAATATAACAAACTAGTTTGATAACAAACCTGAGAAATAAAGTAAGAAATACTATATTTTATTAATGAATAATTCCAGTAAAAGTTGGGGAAAAAATTATACCAATCTTTACCAACCTTTCAGTCTTTTTCCAGAGATAGTAAAACTGAACCACTTCGCTGATTGTCCGACTAGGAACCAAGTTCTTCTGAATTAAGTGAAATTGCTTGCCGTACAGCTTTAATCCGTTTTCAAATCCCTGTTAAAATCCATGGTCACTTAAAAATTTGATTTAATTTAAAGATCGTTTACTATTTTCCCCAAAACACTAGAAAAACATTAAAATGCGAATTACTCAGGAAAGGTCAATGTGACCATGTTATGTCGTTTAAACTAGAAAGTGGAAATATTTGTTACACGATTTACACTAGATTTAAGGCTTACCTGACACTCATCCTCGCTCCAGGGTTTCATGTTTTCGCCCACACAACATCTGTTACGAGAACTGGCTTGTTTCTCGGCCCTCTCAAGCGCGTTTTCCACTTTGTAGCCGTGCGAGTGTAGATTAAACAGTGCCTACAGGAGGGAGAGGTCAGCCCAAAACAAATTTATATCTTTAAATCATGGTTATTACCTAATGGTGATTACCCCCAAAATCCTAGAAAAGCCAATGTAATTTTAATAAAGAACGCGAAGAAAAGAATTGTAACCTCTTCATCATCCCTGTGGGCGTCCGCTATCGGCAATTCGTCTAAAGAGTATACCTTGAAGTACAATTTAGTAAATAAATTATACTGCTATTCTGAACATTGAAAATTCTAAATTACTACCCTCATAACGTTTGTGGACGGTTTCAAATCAATGCACTACGAAAGAGAAAGAGAAAGAGAAAGAAGTTATTCATTTAACTTTAGAGATAACCCTAACCTTTGACAAGTATCTGTTTAAATCCTCTGAGTTGAGTTTGTCTGGCCTCCAGAGGAGGGTATCTTTCTCCTCTTCTTTCTCATCCTCTTCTGTCACTTTGTCCTGTGTAAAAATGGCGGTTGTCAAACAAAAACGGACGAGAAAAAGTTTTAAGTTAGACTAGTGGTGGGATTTAATCTAGCAAACATAGAATTGTAGCATCTATTGGAGATTGATCTAATAATTTAATTTATAAACCTTGTCCAAGAGTGTTGGTATTTCTGCCTGAAACTCAGGTCCAACGGAGATCTCTTTCTTCCAGTCATCTTTATCGTACATACTCATCCGTCGCTCCATCTCCGCGCTGTCTGTATCTGCCGATATAAAAGTTACCAAACAAACCTCATCAAACACCAAAGGTTACTTAACTTAATGTAAAAGTTTTCCATTATACTGTATATTATGTAATCTATTATAGTGATGTTATCAGTTTATATTAGACAATATACATAGTTTCGAGACATTTATTATTCAATTTGTTATTTTACTCAGTTATATAATGTGTACATGACAGTACAATGTAACATTTTGCCGCGATCTCTCCACGAATTTTAGAATTTCAGCTGCGAATTACGAGTTCTTTACAGTTGTCTTCCCCTTGTCTTTCAACGATTTTATGTAAAAAATCACGAAGAATGTTTTCCCTAGTCTTTAACTGTGTTCTCACATATCTCAAATTGAGTATTAAACCCACTTGCCCACTTATTCTCAGATATGGCTTTTATTTTTTCCCTTGACACTGGTTCTTACTCTGTTCACACTGATGACAAAGCGCCCTCAGAAGAGAGAAGCACTCGCTGTTCAAGAGAGGGTAAGAATTTATTGAGATTTAAAATTTGATAAAGTTCAGTTTGCATTATCCTCAGCTTGGAAATTGTGATGATGCCCGAGTCACCCTCTAGTCAATATTTAGTCAATGTCCAACTGGTATTAATCTATTAACTTCTCTAGCCTGACTGCTGATATACTGTTAAAATACTGATTCCATATAAAATTCAGAGTTTATTCAAACAATGGGAAGATCTATCAGACGGCCACGAGAAAACTTTGGACGATGTTTCGAAGGAAGCAAAGGATACGTGGAGGGATGTGAAGAAAGGCAGCAAAAAAATTGGTGGACCAGTCGGGGAAAAACGTCGATAAAATATAGAAGAACGCAGAAGATGCGTGGAGAGATGCGAAGAAAGGCACTAAGAAATTGTTGGACCAGTTGGACGACAACGTCGATAAATGGTTGGCAGACTGGGATGAAAAGGATGGCAAGAAAGGTAACAAAAAGGGAAAGAAAGGAAGTCCGAAAAAGGGAAAGAAAGGAGGTCCGAAAAAGAGAACGAGAGGTTATGAAGAGGTGTAGGTTGTGAAAATGATTTAAACTGGAAGAAGGAAAATACAATACATAAGTCATTAACATAGGGTGGCCTAGAATTTACGTAACATAGCAAGATATTGGATACTGGATATCCCAGCCATGTTTAGTCAAACTATTTATACAATAGTGATTATTCTGGGTCACCCTAATTTTAAAAATTAATATCAAGCAGAAAGCATGTCTGGAAATAGATCTTTAACGTATTCGACATAAAGAACTTTAGAAAATCTTCTGTATTTTATTTATAAATATATGTGTAGTTTATGAATACTGTCGCTATACGCTCAGTGAATGATATAAATAAAAAGATCTTATTATTTTTTGCCCTAAAGAGATGTTTTATTCGCTCTATAAAGGTACAGGGAGTACTTAATTCTACATATCTCCACCTCATCAAGCAACAAACGTTCTTCGTTTCATTGTTTGTCGGTCGTTACCAAAGAAACCTCATCAAACACCAAACTTAATGTAAAAGCGTTCATTATACTGTATATTACATGTAATCTATAGTGATGTTCTAAGTTTATATTAGACAATATACATGGTTATTAGCCATAGCTATTTTGTTTGAAGCGTTCGTTAACCCAAGGGGTTTGCTAGTATGAAGATCATGTAAATCTAGTTTTCTTATTTAATTTGTTATTTTACTCAGTTGCATGATGTATACGTTCTTTCTTCGTTCTTTTTTTCTTCTTCAATCTTATCATCTACCAAATGTTCAACTTAAGCTTCAATTCAAAATCAGTGAACCTAAGTGGGAATTCCGTTCACTCCTCCGGAATTCAGTGTGTCGGAATTCAGAGCAATTTTTCCTCGCTGGAGTTAGAGTTGAGTGCTGGTCGGATTTGAATGTCATGTTGGGTTCCGTAGAGGAATAATGTTGTAACATCGTACCGCAAATATTTAACATTTTGCCGCGAGCTCGCCGCGAATTTTCGATTTTTAGCCGTGAATTTGCTGAGTTTTTTACTGTTCTCTTTCAGCTATTTTTGGTAAAAATCATTTATAATTTTTTTCCTAGAGTTAAATTCGTGAAACTTAATTCTCACATATCTTACTCAGACCTTCAGACTCTATTGCGTATTAAAACCCACTTGCACACTTATTCTCAGACATGGCTTCTAAAGTTTTGTTCTTGACACTGGTTCTTACTCTGTTCACACGGATGACGTCTCAGACGTCCCGTTCTGAGAAGAGAGATGCTACGGAGAATGTTGATAATAATCTCCTGGAAAATGAAGCACTCACTGTTATAGAAAGGGTAAGAATTTACCAAGATTTAAAATTTAACAAGGTTCAGTTTGCTTTATTTTGAGCTTGGAAATTATGATGTTAATCTCTATACTGTGATAATGTTTAAGTAATGATTCTATATAAAATTCAGGGTTTCTGGGGTAACACATGGAGTAAGTTAACTAACGGCGCCAAAAACTTTTGGGACAGTATTACAAAGGAAGCAACGGACACATGGAATGATGTGGCGGAAAGCAGCAAGAAAGTGTGGGATAAGGTGGAGGACAATGCCGATAAAACTTGGACTGACTTGACAACATGGGAAGATGGGGAAGATAAGGATGGTCCGAAAAAGAAAAAGAAAGAAGGTCTGGAAGAGGAAAAGAAAGAAGATCTGGAAGAGGAAAAGAAAGAAGATCTGGAGAAAAAGGCGCAGGCTGTGAAAATGATTTGAACTGGGTGAATCAATGTTACGACTTAATTTTCGCAGAGGAAAATACAATACATTAGTCATTAACACAGGGTGGCCAAAAATTTACGTAAAATGGCAAGAATTAAGATATTGAACACTGGATATCCCAGTCATGTTCAGTCAAACTATTTATATAGTTATTATTCCTGTTTATCTAACTTTAATAAATCTTCTGTATTTTATTTATATATATTTAGTTGGTAAAGTCTGTCTGTTATACCCTCAGCGAATGATTAATAATAATAAAAGTAGATTTTATTATTTTCGCCCCTAAAGAGATGTTTAACTCACTCTATGTTTCAACAAATTTTTATCCATTGATCTCTGCTAAAGATCTCAAATTATTTTCAGAACCTCACGGAAACTTTATAACTAATTATTGGAAAAGTAGCGACAGCGAAGTATATGACCAACAGATTAGTGATCCCGGTCCCCTAAGCTGCAGTTTGTGTTTCCGGCTTAACTCCCTTCTAGCAGCTTACTTCCAAATATTTACTGCTCTGGGCTCTGACCTCTCGCGAACTGCATTGATTGAAAACTGTTTTTATTTTGTCGGTAGTTCGGCCAACAAATTAACCCCTACTCACCACCCTGTGTTTTTCTTTTCTTTTTAAAGGGCTACCTACTATCATTTCCACGAAAAATATCAAACGTATAATTTATCTTCCGAGGAAATATCAAAGAACTCGCCCCCTGGGCCCTGGTACAAATTTTTGCCAAATCATTGGAATACAATCGGCATAGCCACATGCAGGATGGGCCAATGGCTGAATTAAATGGTTCCAGGTTGAAACCACATTCACAAAGTGTACCTGTTCATTTGTGGCTATCCCCACTTCTTTCTAACGTAACACTCGTCGAGTGAAATCATCAGGTGACAGGTCATGTGGTATATTTCTTGACGCTCATTATATTATGTTAACTTCACTTTCTATTTTGGAATTCCAAAATAGAACGCGCGTGAGCGCTGTGATTAACATTATCTTGCATCGCGCGCTACAAAACAAGCGAATAAATTTGTGACCGCATGAGTTAAAGACAAACAACAAAGATGGGACGTCCAGAGGACGTCGTCCACGGAAGACAAAAAATAGGTAATGAGAATATGAAACTTGAATCGAAACTCACCACTAACAGAGTCTTGGGATTCTTCTTTTACCTGAATAGAAAAATTTAGTAAAATTTTTGTCAGGCAACAGAGAAAACCGTATTCGTAACAACCAACATAGCTCGATTCCCACATCGTTACGCGTCTCAAACAGCAATATTTAACCACGCTAAAACACTCGTTAATTTTAAGACTTTAATCTGAACAATGCTGAATTTGGTGCCTTGTACATATGGATAACTGATTGAGGTTACATTATACATAAAGGTCAGTAGACCTGTGTACAGCTTCGCACCCTTAAATTCGATGCTAATCAAAATTCGAACTGACAATAATTATAAGACTTAAATGTTAACGAATATAATACTGGTCATACCTTAAAGTCTTCTTCTTCGTTGTTATTGAGTCCGTACATAACCATCAACTCATCCAGTGGTATATCACCCTCTTTCTTCAGATCTTCTATCTGCAGTTATTTGCTAGTGAACACAATTATTGTATTATTAAATAATACATTAAGGAAAGGTCTCTGTTGTCGTTAGTTCTGTTTTGTTTAAAAAATAGTCCTCCAAAAAATTGCGGGAAAATTCAAACTTGCTGCTGTGTTGGAGGAATAATTTCCTGTCAGTGTGATGGACATTTTAAAGCTTCTAGAATCCAGACAGACGATGAAGGTGACAAATTATCAAACCAATAATCCAGATCTTACCGTCGTAAATTTGTACAAACATTCTTAAATCTTAAAAAGAACGATGATTTCATTCGAGAAAGTCTGCGATATTGAAGTTTGACGATGAGTAAGACATTTCCCCTACTATGCAGCGTTTGACGTCAGGGTTAAGTCAGGGTGTTGAGTTGCAGTGAAAACAGATAAGAAGATGAGAATACTGACAGAGTGACAGTTGTGCAATGTAGAATTCTGCTTTTGTTTTATTTCGTGTTGATTGAGTTGAATCAGCTGACAAAACCACCATCTCTCACGAGACTTACTCACGAGACTAAGAATTACAGATTAATGCATGATCTTATGTATTCGGGGGCTTTCGGAATTTGCCCTGATAGCCTAATCTTAAAATTAAAGCACGGGTGTTAGCCGTGCTGTTGAAAATTTCGTTTTATTTTCGACCCTTTTTTGTCAGTAATCTTCCAAGATATCTCATTTTCAGCTTAAATACTGCCGTTTTAACTCTAACATAAAATTCGAGTTTTGAAGTGTCCATCTTTCTGGCACGATTGAAGGGTGGAAACTATTTAATAGCTCACTAGATACAAGCTGACTTACTAGATCAGTGGATAACTTTCTGAAGAAATTTCCCAGCATATTATAATTTCTCAAGAAGTTGGTCGATATAATTTCTCAAGAAGCTACAGAGCTACTACAACTCAAATTTTGCCATTTTTTGTGCTTATGTCGTCAACATGATTTCATGATATCTTTGGTTGATTTGCTGGATTTTAAAATCATCAACCCTTTACTTAAGTCTTTTTGGGTAAAATTTTCTAAAATTGGCACATGCTGTTGTTGATCACCAATGCTAAAAAGGTGCATAAAAGGCGATTTCAGTAATTTACTTGACTTTAAGTCATGCTCTATAGCACGACTATTATGTAGTTACTGGATTTTCACTATATTTATCTTCTAGGCTATCTTCCATTTCATCCTATGACGCATCTTCCTTCAAGCTAGAGGAGCTGTGCAACAATGATACTGCTCACAATCCTTACCGTACTCCTCTATCCCTGCCTCACCACAAAACCCACCAAATACGGCACCATGACACTCAGCTACATTCCTGACTCAGCTCTGATCATTAAAGGTGGTGATACCCAGATCTTCAGGGCACCACTGTGTAATGAGATTAACAATTGGTCCTTCAAAGCTAAGGTGTATGTGCTGAACGAGCCTTGGGACGCAGATAAGATAGGTGAGGATACGTGGCTGCACATTAAAGTCTCTAATAAGCCGGACATGACGAGGATAGTTAGGGATAATGTTAGGGATGCTACACCCGGAGCAGATCCTCAGCCTTTCGCAAAACCTTTCACTTACAAAAGTACTACTTGGGGTTCTGACGCCATTTACATTCAGATAACAGCTCGTCAGGGCACCCCAACTTTTCAATACGGTTTAGAACTCTCTGTCAGCCCACCTCATGACGATATTCCTGATGGAATGGATGCAGTTCAGACAGTACCTGAGAACCTTGCCCTGGCTAAATCACGTGAAATTCAAACCCTAAAACAAATTTCTATTCCATTTGTAGACGATCTGAGGTCAGGAGACACCGGACAGTACAAGGTCCCAATCTGTTTCGAGGACACGTACGACCAGAGATCCCTGACAGTCACCACCCTTGTAGCTGAAACTGTAAACGAGGCACCAGGTGGTGTTGCTTCCTTTCTCTGCACCAGCTCCATGATGAGAAACAACATCTGCTGGCGATCAAGTGCAACAAACAGAGGTATTAAGTTTTTCGATCCGTCCGGTGGAAAGCAGAACACAGTCACCACTACAGTTCCTAAAGAGGAGTACGGATCTGTTTACCTTCTTGTTCTTGCTCAGGGAAATTACCTTGAGAATGTTCAGTTCACCATAACAACTAAATTAAGGAACCCTCACAAAGACACCCTCAAACTTACCGGGGAACCAGAAAAAGATTTCCCCAGTCTTGTAACATATCTTAGGAGTATCTACGAGGGTAAAGCTCCTCCTCTTAACCATCATTTTGTTCCATACGAGCTCCGCCAGGAACTTTAGGTTATTATGCTAAATTCTTTAAATTTTTGAGCTGAAATCGAGAAATTTTGACATGATTCAGGTACTCTTAGTATTTTGTACATTTTTTGATGTGGTATTTGAAAATGTAACATATTTCTTGTTAAGTTTTTCCATAAATTATAACATGAAATATCCAGGCGTATATTTCATGATATTCTGCTCTTTTCATTTTGCATCGTAAGAATTAGCAGATAGTTATAAAAGTCAGATTACTGGAGAACAAATTGACAGAACGTCTCTGTTATTAGTGAGTTAATTATCGATGTAGCTATTGATTTAGGTACTTATATACTGGTAGTATTTTGTAGGCTTAGTAGATTTTGTGACGTTTGTATTTGAAATTGTAACATATTTTGTTGTTCAAGGTTTTCAAAAACACAATGTTATCAATAAGTATTTTTCCATCTAACAGAAAAGCTAAACTGGATAAAATATAATAGGTATTTGACTATGACAATAAAAATCGAAAATGATATGCTGCTAACAATAAAAAGTATCACATTTAAACAAATCTACAAACATAAACCCCTCACCTCATCGTCATCTTTCTCATCCTCATCACACTGAATAGAACTCTCATCATCCACACTCTCTACCAGTCCCTCCTCCAGCCCCTCCTCCATCCCCTCCTTTCCCTCAGCTTCAGGGACTGGTTCGTACTCCTCGTCCCCCGAACTTGCCACAGATAACTTGCGTTTTAGTCTCCCTGATTCTAGGATAGGCGGAACTAATCTGTTGGAACGGAGTTGTGGTATCGTCTCACTGCTGTCTCCCATTCTATATAATAATAATATAAACTAATATAATAAACTGATCATAAACTAATAATATAAACAAATAACAAAAATATAAGTTTATATATTCAATATTCATTAAGAGTTTATATACAAACAGTTACAAATATTTAATGGAATATTGAGGAAGCTGGATCTGGAAGTGATGAAAGATTTGAGGATCAGTGATCAGTGAAAACTGCGAATAAAATCAAGGTAGAGTTTAAAGAGGATGAAGTCTAGTAATTATCAAACGAAAGTAGACATGGACGACAGCAAAATAAAAATTCAATTTATCAATTAATAAATTAAATGCTTGATATAAAAATCAAGTAATAGCATAATACCGAATTATAAACACATCATCATTAAACACATAAAAAAACTTAAAAACGTTCAAACCCATGGTACCGCTTTGGCTAAACAGTATAAAACAATTAAATTAATATTTCTAAAAGTCTAAATACTTAAATATGAATTAACATGTATTTACTTACACAAAAATAAATGATCACTGAATTGTTAGTTTAAAATACACGATAACATACATTTTTGGAATATGTTAATTAATGTAGCGGTAACCATAATTAATGAAAATAATTTACAAAAGAATTATTAATTGATACAAATTTAAAACTTAAAATTGGAATAACAACAAATCCTCTGATAAGACTGTTATTAAAGCTTGTATAACATTTAATACAAAATCAGTCGTTGCAATAGTAATGGTAAAGTAAAGCCTCGGATTAAATATCATTTCACAATGCTACCAAAACTTTCTAAAAGATGCTAACTTTAACAGTATCCCCGGAGCCCACACCAAAGTTTTGTCCCTCAAAAACAACTGATGTTGTAGACTCATAATTAAAAGATCTCAAGTCACCTGTCAAGCTGTCCCTTGTGAAAAAAGGGTGAGTAAAATAAGTATACTTCACGCGAGAACCACCAGGCTTGATATTCTGTCCTACCACTACATCATTTCCATCATAGTCTATCCAGATTAAGTCGATATTAGTAGCTGTATCGTTTGTGAAGATTGCTGTAAACTTTATTTCTGCTCGAGATGATTTAGATTGTGTAGGACGAGCAGGATGAGCGGGACGTTCACCGTCTTCCTCTTCTGAAAAGTAAATATATTCAACTCACATCTCAGATATTACTTTTATTTCCTGAAACTGAAAAGGTATGACCCCACCGTATGTCACATATAAGGAATAATTAAACAAATGTCTTATAGCATTGCATGCACGCGTTCGAACGGCCATCTTCTGGTTTATTGAAAGATGAGTCCGACAAAACTCATATGAAAATAAAAACAGAATATGAATCAGAATTATTCGTAGCTCACAAACCTACTTCAAGTGCCCCAAGTTGCTTAGAGTTGTCCCTCAATTCTAGGATATATGCATGCACCACATCCCTCCGAACTGAACCAATATTCTCAAGTAAAGTAAAATCACTGCAACTTCTCAGATCTTCTATTGTACTGAAAATACTCAGACTTTCTGACATTTTCCTATCCCTGAATTATAACTATTATAATTATTATAAGTATAATATGCGGATTATAACAATGTGCGAATAAAGTTTGAACTTTGAAATTTCTACTCTGTTTAATACGATTTCTGTCGGATTAGTTTGTTAAGTTTTGTTCCAGGTATTTTATTTGTATTTTACCGCATCTTATATTATTGATGTATTCCCACAGTATTGCAGGTTGTCTGTATAATACTGACTGCATGCCTCACGATCAGCAATTAAATCTATAATCAATTAAATGTTGATCAGTTACATTCTATATAATTCATACATACCAATTACCAAATATCACATTCAATAAATCTAGCTGGTATAAAAATCTTCATCATCATTTTAGTTCAGTTTATACTGAAATTTAAATTTACATGAAGATCACAACTAAAAATACTGCAACAATTACAATCTCTAGAAAATAATCTCAAATACATCGTAACATAACTTTCGTAATAGGCTAATAAATCTTACAAATTAATAATGATTTAAAATCAATATGGCGCAGTCTTACATGCTGTTATAAATATAAAGAATCTAAGATGATCAAGTCATAACTCATATAACTTATAATTTCAAATCAAAATTTCCTTCATTGAAAGTCTTGCAACATCTTTTGAAGGAAAATGTCAGGTAGATTGTGTCTAAACTTGAATTATTTATTATTCGATGCCGTTTGCTCTGAAAGCTGCCGTTGTGCTGTTTGCAGCCGTATTTTCTTTGATTTTCTTACTTTCTAAGCTACCAAATTAAATAAAAACCCCTTAACATCCAAAACTCAAAATTACTCGTTTTCTGAAGGTCAACTTTTCCACGATAGATTATGAAAAACTCCTCCAGCTTATCAACTTTTCATTTACATCGAAATTTCCTCACAAATGGTCACATTAACGTCAGCATTATGAGGGACACCGAAATTGAGCCCCTCAAAAACAAGTGATGTTGTAGACTGATAGTTGAAAGATCTCAGTTTCCCTGTTGCACTGTCTCTAGCAATAAAAGGGTGAGTTAAGTAAGTACATTCTCCGTGAGGGTCTCCAGGCTTGATATCCTGCCTAACTACCACTTCTTTCCCATCATAATCCTTCCAAATTAGGTCTATATTACCAGCTGTTTCGTTTTTGAAGCGAGCAGTAAACTTGATCTGTGCTCGAGATGATTTGGCGCGACGAGCTTGTTGTTCTCCTTCTTCATCCTCCGAGTTTAAGTAAAGTACAGGTAACTCTGGAGGTCCTGGGCACACTATTGGGGGACCTGGGAGAGATGGTGAGTGGCAGTCTTCTTGGGTTGTAAACTAGGATCAACATCAGAGTAAACGTCAAAATAAGGTAATTTATTGAAATTTTCAGTTTACAAACCTAGTTCGGCTATCCTGGCTGCTTCCCTCAATTCAAGAATATACTTAAGAATCACTTCCCTACCCACTGCATCTATATCTGCTACTAAGGCGTTATCACTGCAACCTCTCAGGTCTTCTATAGTACTGAATATCGTTAACCTTTCTGACATTTTCTTATACCTGAGTCAGAACCATCAAGGGGCAAAGAATGTTAACCTTACAAAACATTCCTTTGCTGCAACAACTGTTTAATGAACACACTCTCCTAATTTGTTTTAGTTCCAACGTTTTTCTGACAGATTTTATATATAAAAAGTAGAGATCAAATTTTTCAATAAAATGAAACGAAGCTGATAAGCTGAGTCCGTCATCGGACAAAATCAATATTGAAATATAATGTGAAATTTAATAAAATTGTTTGATGGTCACTGCTTTAAAAATATGAATATCTCATACAAAATAAAAATGTAAAAATATTCTAAAATTCGATATCATCTAACTCAATTCTAACTCCATTCTGTAGTATAGTATAACATCTAAAAATTGTAATATAATAAATACATCATGCATCTGCAAACTTGACAAAAGTTTAAACTGATTTAAGTGTATAATTTAAAAGACTAAAATATTACTGATTTATAAATGATCAAAGCTTTCTAACTTAATCAAGCTGATATGGGTCACACTTATCAATAAGATTATAAGGGTGCCACAATAATGTAGCCAGCAAAACCATATAAGGTAGTAACAATACTTGTCAATCCGATCCCTTGACTTAATCCAATACATTTTCTGTAGGGTCCTTATGTGTAGCATAAGAGCAAAAAACTCGAGGGTCACCACATAGTTTACTCAGCGTGGTCATTTTTCACCAAGCTTACATTTTTACTACCTTGGTAATGTTTTTTTTTATGAAACTTGGCCACCATGACAATAGTTTACTATATTTGTTTCCATGAAACAGAAAGTATTCTGCACAGGTGAAACTTGGAAGTTAAAGCTGGCAAAGTATGCAATTATGTGGATACTTCAAATGTTCTGGGAAACAATAGTTTTTGCTTGAGGATCAGTTTCTTCATAATTTGGTGGAATGTCATATTTTAGGGCATCTCTGTAACTTGGAATGCCAAGTTCATGATATCCTGAAACGAAGAGATTGTTGAAATACTATTTTTGATAACATGTACATACATTGCTGTAACACTAAGCAATGTGCAAATATGGGAAATTGCACACCTCGTTTTTATGTTATTTTATTTCATCCGAACACGAAATGGTCATTACTTTGAATTAAGGAATGGTAAATTATCTCACTAGCAACAGAAAGAAATAAACATCTGATTTCACTGTAATCTAATAAACAATTATGCAGTGTTGTTATTATAAACTACAGTTGGTGTGGCTAATTGTTAGATCAGCTTACCAGGTGCTTGTGGTTGTGGTTCTCTGTAACAGCATGCGGCACCAAAATATTGCGAAATAGCATAAACAATTCCCACTGAGAAACCCGTGCAGATTGCAGCAATTAGGATTATAACTGAAAGATAATGTTCCCATTACAGCGATGTAATGGAGTAAGAATTCTCAAAGGTATTTTTTCAATGAAGGGATTTTTAAATCTAAATTGTTTTATTTGAATAATTGATTGCCAATGTGATGAACTGTAAATCTGATAGGGAATTGCATTGGTATAATATATAATTTACTTTTATGTATACAACTTTTTAGCATTACTTAACAATAAAATTAATTATACTCACAGCCAACTGACAAACTATCCCCAGAAGGATCTGGTCTGATGCCCTTTTTATCTTCTCTCCAGCTGTGATGATTACAAACCACAGAAACTGGAGTAGGCATATTTTCAGATTTTAAAGAACAAAAAAGTCATTACAGCTAGGATACACTCAAAATTTACAACGATTAGAACATTTTCAAACAAGTTGAGACAATTAGATCATCATTGAATAAAGAAGAAGTAATGAAGTAATGAATAATAACAGATAATAAAATAATGCCTTTAAATTTAGAGTAAGTTAAAATGTAAAACTGTACCTGCTTTTATGATGACAATGATAGCAGGGCCAGGTATGAGTTTGAAGTGCCAAGACATTCTTTAAGGAGTAGTATATAGCAACAAAGAAGTTCAGGAATATACCTCAGATGTTTCAGTATATAGGGGGGGGGGTGTCACGTCCGTCTATGTCCGCCTATGTCCTGTCATTTTTGGATTCTATGAGACAACGGACGTGTTTTTTGGGACATTGGCGGACACAGACGGACATTGGCGGACACGGACGGACATTGGCGGACTCGGACGGACATTGGCGGACTCGGACGGACATTGGCGGACTCGGACGGACATTTGCGGACCCGGACGGACATTGGCGGACTCGGACGGACATTGGTGGACATCAGCGGACATATAAGAGGTCTAAAGAATAAAGATCTCACAAATATTCCCAATATTTAATTAAATCCAGTCACCAAATCCGGTCGCTAAATCCAGATCTATTTGTGTCGTCAACATATCTTTGAAACAGTTACACAGGGTACACAGTAGGCACAGTACCTATTTAACGAAATATATATAGGGAATATAACTTATTAATCGCACTAAAGCTATTAATAGCTTTAACTTATTTTATCAAATTTTATCAAAGGCCCCAGGAGGAGGAGGAGGAGGAGGAGGACTGGAGAGGAGGAGGACTGTTGAGGACTGATGAGGAGGACTGAGGACGAGGAGGAGGAGTAGGAGGAGAACTGAGGAGGGGAGGAGGAAGAGGACTGAAGAGGACTCAGGAAGACCCAGGAGGAGGACCCAGGAGGAGGACCCAGGAGGAGGAGGAGGACTGAGGAGGATGACTCAGGAGGAGGAGGACTCAGGAGGAGGACTGAGGAGGACTGAGAAGGTGGAGGACTGTTGAGTACTGAAGAGTACTGAGGAGGATGGCTGAGGAGTATGGCTGAGGAGGATGACTGAGGAGGATGACTGAGGAGGATGACTGAGAGGGAGGAGGAGGATCAGGAAGACCCAGGAGAAGGAGGAGGAGGAAAACCCAGAAGGAGGACCTAGGAGGAGGAGGAGGAGAACTGAGGAGGATGACTCAGGAGGAGGAGGACTCAGGAGGAGGACTGAGAAGGAGGAGGACTGAGGAGGATGGCTGAGGAGGATGGCTGAGGAGGATGGCTGAGGAGGATGACTGAGAGGGAGGAGGAGGAGGAAGAGGAGGAAGAGAACTGAGGAGGAGGAGGAGAAGGACTGAGGAGGAGAAGGAGGACCCAGGAGGAGGAGGACCCAGGAGGAGGAGGACCCAGGAGGAGGACCCAGGAAAAGGCCCCAGGAGGAGGAGGAGGACTGGGGAGGAGGAGGACTGTTGAGGACTGATGAGGAGAACTGAGGACGAGGAGGAGGAGTAGGAGGAGGACTGAGGAGGGGAGGAGGAAGAGGACTGGGGAGGATCAGGAAGACCCAGGAGGAGGACCCAGGAGGAGGAGGAGGAGGAGGACCCAGGAGGAGAAGGAGGACTGAGGAGGACTGAGGAGGAGGACTGACGATGACTGAGAAGGAGGAGGACTGAGGAGTACTGAGGAGGATGGCTGAGGAGGATGGCTGAGGGGGATGAATGAGGAGGATGACTGAGAGGGAGGAGGGGGAGGACTCAGGAGGAGGACTCAGGAGGAAGAGGAGGACTCAGAAGGAGGACTCAGGAGGAGGACTTAGGAGAAATGAGAAGGAGGACTGAGGAGAACTGAGGAGGAGGAGGGGGAGGAGGACTGAATAGGAAGAGGAGAAGGAGGGGGACTGGGAGAGGACTGAGGAGAAGGAGAACTGATGAGAAGGATGATGAGGAGGACTGAGGAGGAGGACTGGGGACCGAGGAGGAAGATGAGGAGGATGAAGAAGAGGAGGAGGACCCAGGAGGAGGAGGACTGAGGAGGAGGACCCAGGAGGATGGCTGAGGAGGATGACTGAGAGGGAAGAAGAGGAGGAGGAGGACTCAGGAGGACTGAGAAGGAGGAGGACTGAGGAGGAGAAGGAGGAGAACTGAATAGGAGGAGTAGGAGGGGGACTGAGGAGGAGGATGGAGGACTGAGGAGAAGGATGAGGAGGAGGACTGAGGAGGACTGAGGAGGAAGAGGAGGAGAATGAAGAGGAGGAGGAGGACCCAGGAGGAGGACCCAGGAGGAGGACTCAGGAGGAGGAGGAGGAGGACTGGGGAGGAGGAGGACTGTTGAGGACTGATGAGGAGGACTGAGGACGAGGAGGAGGAGTAGGAGTAGGAGGAGGACTGAGGAGGGGAGGAGGAAGAGGACTGAGGAAGATCAGGAAGACCTAGGAGGAGAAGAGGAGGAGGAGGACTCAGGAGGACTGAGAAGGAGGAGGACTGAGGAGGAGAAGGAGGAGAACTGAATAGGAGGAGTAGGAGGGGGACTGAGGAGGAGGATGGAGGACTGAGGAGAAGGATGAGGAGGAGGACTGAGGAGGACTGAGGAGGAAGAGGAGGAGAATGAAGAGGAGGAGGAGGACCCAGGAGGAGGACCCAGGAGGAGGACTCAGGAGGAGGAGGAGGAGGACTGGGGAGGAGGAGGACTGTTGAGGACTGATGAGGAGGACTGAGGACGAGGAGGAGGAGTAGGAGTAGGAGGAGGACTGAGGAGGGGAGGAGGAAGAGGACTGAGGAAGATCAGGAAGACCTAGGAGGAGGAGGAGGAAGAGTAGGAGGAGGAAGCATCTAAATGTTATTTCCATTTTAGTCCGTTTTTGTCCATTTTTGTCCGTTTTGAAAATATAGGGTACCGAACGGACAAAAAACATGATATAACAGCAAAAATTAAACATTTTATTTAGCAATTTAGGTGTCCATTAATGTCCGTATATGTCCGTCTATGTCCGCCAATGTCCGCCTATGTCCGTCTATGTCCGCCTATGTCCGTCTATGTCCGTCTATGTCCGCCTATGTCCTGTCCTTTTTGGATTCTATGAGACAAGCGGACATAGACGGACGTGACACCCCCCCCCCCCCCCCCCTATATATCAAAATTGATTTATTGTAAACTTGTTTATTCTGTAATAAATGGCATAAAATTAAAATTTTTGTTTCTAACTGAAATTTGTTGTTTAACTGAGTAGTGTTTTGATTGAAATTTAATTCATCGTTCGGAGAAAATCTAAGTATTCTTACAGTCAATTTAATTTTTACATTTCAATTTCAAGTAAATATGAGATATGTAAAATTACAACTTAATTAATTCATTTTTACTGCATTTTCTTTTTTAGATTTGCTTGACATTTCATGGTTCAAACTAAGATAGAGATTAATCTATATTATATTAAAAACTAAACAAAATCCCCCCCGGCAACAGGGACATGAAAAAAAAAAAAAACATTGCAAATTGACCAAAAACGACCCTTCTTTGTGGTAAATTTCAGCTTGCAAATGGAGTTGGACCTTACGATTTTTAGCAAGATTGTAGAAAAAGGACAGGAATAGGAAACAGCATTCCTAGAATTTTGATTAATGTTTTAGATTTTTTATCGATCCATGACTCCTGTGCCGAAGGCAGAAAAGAGTCAAGCAAACGAGGTGCATGCGTGCCTGCGAGCGTACATACGTGGCCCGTGAGCACAAATGACAAATGTCACCCACATTCCTACTAATTTACAACATACAACTGCGCAAAGTTTTTTTTTATTAAATACTTTTCAAATTTTACAGAGTACAGCAATAGATGAATATAAAATAGAATCGTTCAAAATATCGCCCCCATCTGTAAAATATGATGGGCACCCAAACACGGTAAACACATAGTGAACTATGTCCGCAGTAACTTGGACCCATTACATCGAATTAATCTAAATCCAAAAATTAGTTAGTTTGCAAAATATTCCGAATTAAATTATTATTGGCATGCGGCGCTGAACTGATCAAGTAAATTGTTAATTTTGACATGTACGTATCCACTAAGCACTAATTGATACTTCGCAAGTTAGTAATACTATATTGCATAGATTTGTGTCATATCAGGTTGCATAAACAATTTAAACGTATGGTTACTACATACATAGAAATATACACTATTTTCAAATTCCATATGGAATTAACTGGACACTGTCACTCCTTGGAGTGACAGTGCGGATCCGCCATATCTGGATTCTGGATGCATAATGTATATAAACCACGTAAAGCCTGGGTTCCCCAGGGTTTATGGAATATAATAAAATACGCCATCACGGAGCGGGAAATTGACGGATGTTACTCGTCTAAATTTCCTCGAATTAGCGCGCGCCGGGCCAATAACCATTAATAATGGTCAAAGCGGGAAATTGAGCGATTATCCGCAAAGGAAAAGCGGCTGCATTTCTTGTTTATAATATTTTCCGGGAATTATATGCACTAAAACTCGTGGACACTGAGAGCTGATAATTTGTTACTGGGCCGCGCTCAGCCTGTCATTCCGCCGAATCTCTATTTTATGTTGATGAACATGATAGCCTGATGTCTTGACCATTGTTAATGGTCTGGCCCGGCGCGCGCTACTTCGTAACACGTTCACATAGCCACATGTGTATATGCGTACTGCGTGACGGGGGCGTTGGTTAAAGCAACGTAGCACGTAACATTTCAAAAAGAAAGCGCCGCGCTACTTCGAAGAAATTTTGACGAGTAACATTCGTCAACCTGAGGTCCCCGCAGGTAAATAATTTGCAAATATTTCCCGCAAGGAAGCAAAAGTATTGTTAGCACAAACTCACATTAAACTGCGAGTGCTTAAATTAAATTTATTGTTTCATTGACATGATTGAATTTTGACCATTGTTAATGATCTGGCCCGGCGCGCGCTACTTCGTAGCTCGTGCCGTCGAGAAGAAATTGCGGCGCGCGCTACTTCGAAGAAATTTAGACGAGTAACATCCGTCAAGATTGAATCCCATCCTCTGCTTTCGGCTGATTATGTAATAATTATGCAAACGACCCGGGCGGCCTTAGATTGGTGTTACATTATGACTACGACTCACGTTGCTTGTCTCTTAACATGCACAGAAAAAATGTTTAGCACATCGTGACCCCCATTGTCGTTTCACTATAGAGTTTCTACGATACAGGGGAGCCGCGCACTCGTGCGCGGCGGGTCATACAACATATGACAAGAAAAATGTATGCAACGTTTACTATATTGTATCGCAAGGGAAAATTAAAATAAAATATAGATCGCGCGCGCGCAACCTGGAAAATTCGTTCTCTGACTGTGGATTCAGCCTGTCATTCCGCCGAACTCTATGATTATGAACATAAATATAATTAAATAGCCTGAGGTCCCCAGGTAATGTATTTGTAGGTTTATAATCTACCAAGACATGCGCCGAGTTTTGAATAAATATTTTGCGAGCATCACTAGTTAACACTAAATGTACAACGAAGACAGACTTTTTCTTGAATAACAAATATAGAACATAATATCAATAAATAATTTTTCATTCAATTTCACTACACGATACATTCATTGATCTTTACAAACCAACACCGAAAGAGTCTTCTCAAAGCTTGGAGCTGAGAAAGGTTTCTCTCGATCTTGGATGATAAAAGAATTAGCTAAGTGAGATCGATTGAAATTGGAATTATAAAATCCAATCAATCCCACATTCACAGTGTCGAATAAGAAATATCAATATACGTGGAGTTTTGTGAGGTCTATAATATAATCGTCTTGTTTCAACTTCACTCATTCGCTTTCTCATTTCTCAGTCCGCCTAATAAAACAAAAAGAATATAACAACGACGATAGTTTAATCGAGGTTAAGAGGGGCATTTAAAACTACAACGTGAACCAAAACAGTCAAATTCTAATTCATCTGTAAAAAAATTAGACGTCTGTAGATAAAATATTTCAGAGATAAAAGTTCCTGGAAAAGAAGGCAGGCTATTGGTATCCAGGGTAGCTCTGATAAGGTATCTGAGATGGGTATTGTTGATAGCCTGTTTGATCCGGCGGACCTCCTCGCTGCTGTCCCTGCGAATATTTATCCGGTTAAACCTTTTATCAGGATGCCGACGCAATTAGAACTGACTGACATAAAGGTGTCATAAAAACGGTTACCCTACCCTAAGCTTCCCTTGGAAGAAGTAACAGATAGTCATGTCTAGAGTCGAATACCCCCTCCCCCTTCCCTAATCCTCCTACCTGGCTATTATCCGGAGGAGCAGCAGTGTACTGCTGAACTGCGGTGTACTGTTGTGTTCCGTACGACTGTTGGCTTGTGTACCTCTGTATACCTTGATCTGCCTCCTGACTAGAGGCTCTCGCTCCCACAGCATTCAACTGGCCTAGAAAACAGTTCAATAAAAATAGCATAGCAGTCACTGAATCAATTCAAGACGATGGAAATTCAAACAGATATAGATTGTGGAATGTACACTTACTGCCATAGTTCTGGAATATTTGGGAAACACTTTCTTTGAGATCCGTAGGGTTAGCTGAGAAGTAAAACTGCATTAAACAAGTATTCAAACGGTTCATGCATGGCTGTCCAAAGCGTTCATTAGAATTGGTCTGATTCAATGGAGAAAACGAAGAAAAAGGTTTTGTGAACCTATCATGATAGTGCAACATTTCATTTTCAAAGTAAATTTTTCGATTCAAAAACATTCATGTGATTTGCAGTCGACAGCCAACGAAGTACAAACAGATAAGGTACCTGGAACCCCACCATATTGGGGCGCAGAATTGTTCCCGGAGTTGTAGGACTGATGAGCAGGTTGCTCACCATAGGATCCAGACCGCGGGTCCTCCTTTTTAACTTGTGATCCACTACTGTAGCTGTCTCCGTAACTTTGTCCGTAGTTGTCTCCTTGGGGTTGTCTTGGCGTTTCACTGTATCCAGATCGTGGTTGGTTGTCTCCGTATCCAGATCTTTGGCTGTCTCCATAGCTTTGTCTCTGTGAATTTCCATAGTTTTGCCTCGATGTTTCTCCGTAGTTTTGGGTTGATGTGTCTCCATAATTTTGGGTTGACGGACCTCCGTAATTAGGTTTCGGAATGTCTCCATAGGCTGGTTTTGGAGGCTCACCATAGCTTGGTCTAGCACTTTCACCGTGACTTTGACTTGGATTGCCTCCATAACCCTGTTTGTGGTCATCACCATGGCTCTGTCTCTGGTTATCGATGGAACCCTGTCGCGGAGCTTCTCCATAGCCGGATGATTTTGAAACATCGCCGTATTTTTGTTTCTGTATGTCTTCATAGCCTTGTCTCTGATTTCCTCCATAGCTGGCGATGTGACTCTCACCAAATCCCTTGCTAGCGGGTCGCTGTAGCTCTGCCTCTCCCCGTAACTTTGTCTCTGATTGCCAGCACCATAGCTTGGTTTCTGATCTTGAACGAAGGGGGGCTGACTGTTGTACTGACCAGATCCGTAGTTAGAAGTCTGTTGCTGGTTGTACTGATTTGGAGCTCCTAAGTCAGCAGACCTACCTGGGGGCTTGTTGGCAGCGCCACTATTTCCAACTCTATCAAATCCAGCCGGAGCTCCAACGGGCCCTGGAGGTGGTGCTGGAGCTTGTGCGGGCGGATTGAACAATTTGCCAATTTGGCTGAGATCATAAGATCCAGGTTGAGAGCTGCTAGGACCACCATCACCACTACCACCACCACCACCGCGTCCGGATTGATTGTAGCTACTTCCGCCCTGGTTAAATTTACCGCTATCTCTTGACTGCTGGCTAGAGCCGGTTGACTGCTGGTTACCAGGTCCACCGGATTGCCCGAACCCGCCTGACGGTTGGCTTTTGTTATTGTTGAAGCCACCATATTGCTGAGTACCACTTCCTGGACCTTGCTCTCCAAATCTAGGTCTTTGTTGGTTGAAGGAGCTATTACCGCCCGCAGACTGCTGACCATACTGGTCTCTGTTAGAGATATTATTGCTGTTATCTTGGGGTACTCCATACTGTTTTGTCTCCGGAGTGTTGTAATCAATCATAGTGGAACCGAATGATTTGTTGCTATGCTGGGAAGTGTTATCATGGTCACGTGACTCTGATTTAACAGGAGGATAGTTTCTATTGGTGTTGTTGGGAGGGTATTGATTACCAGCTGGGCGACCTATATCCATAGGTTCGGTCTTGACTGGAGGCTTATTGAATGAATCATTTTGGTTTCCTCCAAAGCTAGACCCCCCACGATCACGAGAACCACCGAACTGGTTATTTGGCTGAGGAGCACCAGCGCCATATTGGTTGGGTTGGTGTTCAGGACCACGTTGGTTCCAACCTCCAGGTTTGGTATCCTGACTTGGTGTTGGAGCAGGAGGATTACGGTCACTAAAGCGGGATGGTCTGTTGTTACTTTGGTTACCTCCAAAACCTGATCTATCATCACGACCACCACGGGTATCACCACGTCCAAAATCTCGTCCTGAAAAAAGGGATCATTAGTTTGGAAATTGGAAAGAGTTTTGTTTTGAGAGATAGGAAAATGTAAAAAATTAAATGGACAGTCAAGAATGTAGAATCTGATCAAAAGACTTCCATGCCAAAATTGACGAACCTCTGTCATTCCCACCTCTGTCATTTCCACCTCTGAAGCCACCTCTGTCTCTGTTGAAACCACCCTCATCTTTGTTATCAGCATCTCTACTGCCAAACCGCCCACCACCTCCTCTGCGATCATCTCTGCCCCTGCCACTGTCCCCTCTACTGTCCCTATCATTGTTCCTGCCCATTCTCCCTCCTTGATCCCGGCTACCCCGGTCACCACCCCGGTCTCCAGAAGTAGATCTAGCTTTCTCCGCACTCCTCCTCCTGTTATCTTCTCTTCTATCCACAGTTACAGAGAACCCTCCTCTCGAGCTGCCTCCTCTCTCAACTCTACGATCTTTGTCGTCTCGGTCCCTCCTGTCGCTATCTCTTCTCCTATCTTCAAAAGAACGATTAGGCCGATCTTGTCTGGAGCGGTCACCATCGTTGGATCTGTCGCGAGAGCTACTTGGGTGTCGACCGCCGTCCGATCTTGAGGGCTCATTGTCTGGTTTTGAACGTTTGTTGAGCTTGTCCTCAAAGGGAGGTTTTTCAGACATCCTCTTTTCCCCTGGTTTAGCTTTCTCACTTTCGGACCGACTTCCTCGCTCCTTATATTTCTTTCCTTCTGCCTGAAATTCATCTATTTGTTTCTTTGTGGCAGACTCGTCCATTTCAATGAACTGCACTTCAGTGAGTCCTTCAGTTAGAGCTGGGATACGGAAGTTTGCTTTCATTTCCATAACAGCACTTTCTGGAACAAACTTACCCTCCTCCTTTTCTCTTATAGCGTTCCTCTTGGTCAACTCCTCGCCGGCATTCACGATAATTACAGCTACTTTCCGGCCGAACTTGGAGAAGTTCCGGAGCTTTCTACGTCTTGCACTTTCGTAAACGTTGGTTTGATCAAGGATAATGTTCCGGGGAAACCTTTCAAGTTTTTGTTCCACGATCTTGAACAGAGTGTTCAGAATACCGGTAGCTTTCTGAATGAGCTCCTCCCAGCGGCCATGGTAGTTCCTCTTTCTATGGAGACCAGTAACTTTCATCTTCTCCATGATCAGATTAGTACCGAGGATGTTGTATCTCTTATCTGGATGAGCAGCAGCGTGGCTCTCACACCATGTGCTCTTACCAGCAGCAGGGAGACCCACCATCATGATAAACTCAGCGTCAGCGAGGGTGGCAGGGCCTGCTACACATGGGTGCACGTGGTCGGCAGCGGTGAATGCAATCATTTTGTAACCATCCGCCAGGGGGTGCTTTGTTGGCTGCTGTCCAAAATTTAGCTGAAATGAAGTTTTTAGTTAACTGGTTACTGGTCGCTCATGAAGGAATCAATATCCATTTTCTTGTTGCACTAAGATAAAAGTTTAACTTGTTGCACTAAGATACACTTAACTTGTTGCGCTAAGATACACTTAAATTGTTGCACTAAGATACACTAAACTCTGAAAAACTGACTGGCTAAATTCCGGATTTATATTTGTACCAAGCATTTTATTACTGGTACTTGGCAGAATTTGTATTTTTCTAAAGCAAATCAGGTCCAGAGGAATGAACCAGCAGAAAATAACATACCAAGAATTTGACGTTCTTCGATGAAACGGAGGGGAAGAGGGGTTTCTTCAAATTATCTGGGGTCAAAGTGAAGGCTGCACCCTGATGTTTACCATTTTTTGCAAAGGAAATTGTCTTCTCCTGCGAATTTCGATTTTTGAATTTATTGTTCATTGTTCACGATGAACAAAAGATATTATGTAAAACTTAAAAATGAGTAAGATCGAGATATAACTGACGATGCAGTGAGCACTAAGCCAGGCTCACTGCACCAGTCAACTAAATGCCTAAAAATAGAAAATACAGTTTCACAGTAACTCACGTCTGACTCGAGGTCGACGTAACATGTGATGGAATCTCCAGCTCCAAACTTGTCTCCATAGTTCAGGTATTTGTTGTCATGTGACTTCTTGGCTGTTCCTCCGTAACCCCATGAACTTCCATTCTCACCGAGCTGAGATAATGGGCGGTAATAAAATGGGTGGTTTTAAAATTTGTAATCAGCTGTACGGTGCGAGATGGTCAAGACAGATAAGGGTAATTGTACGGTTTTTACGTTGTATTATTATGATATTTATCGTTTTTGTAAATCGATTATTAGAACCACTGGCGTCCTCCGGGTCAATCTAATTTCTTTGGAAGATTTGATTAGGAAGGTTTCTGAAATTGTGCAAACTGCAAAAGGTTGCAACAAATGTCCCGGATATTTATTGATTTGATGCAAATCATGGAATTAAGCCAACAGAAGATACGGTACGTTTTTATTGATAAGAATTGTAATTAGACGAATTATTATTTAAACTCGAACTGGGGATCTGATAACGAGATTTCAACTTCAAGCCAGTGCTGACAGGAGAATTTGTCGATGTTTATTCGTTTAAGAAACCCTGCATTATGTTTTAAATCGTTCATTTTTCAAAGGAGGTTAATTTTTAAAATGGTCATATCACTCGTCTTTAGTCTGTTGCCTATTATATTTTTACGAATTAATATCTGCGTATCGCTGGTTGCAAAGTACAATTAATTATCAATTATGAAGGTCTTAAGACAAAATCATGCTATTGCTGATAGTTACTGGATTGTTGGCAGCTACAGGACAGACAGGTTTTTCTAGACAATTAAAATACCGAATAGATCTTTGGTTTCGTATCCATGACCAGGCGTTCTGATGACTTGATAATATGGAATGTTTCTCTAGAGCTACAGGAATGCAGAGAATGTCTAACTCTCTCTTTTATTTCAGCCCCCTCACCGGACACCTGTCCAAGTGTTCTGACAAGAGCTGGAATTGATCCGGACAACTTTGTCCCGTTTGTTACCCACAGCATCCACTCTCTTACCTTGGAGGACATCAGATTCTACTTCAAAAGTGATGCGCAAGAGGAGAACAATATTCCAACAGGTTTGACATAAAGATTATAAGCAGGCTTAGGAATATTTACATTTTAGATTTACTTGTATAACTAGCATAGTATGCGCTATATTCTACTACTAGTGATAATAGCTTGTATTTTCAGTGAACCCGGATATGGATAGTGAGGAGAGAGTGCTCCCTCATGCCCCCCTGGCTGGTTATGATGACGACTTCTCCACTCCAGCTATGAGACAGTTTGATATGGTAAGGTAACATTAAACACTTTGTAGGCTGTAATCCGTCAGAAATGTTTCTAAACACAAAACAAAAAACCATACTTTATCTCTATTTCTCCCCCCCCCCCCCCCCCCCCCCCATTTCCAACAAACATCGCCCAGGTGATGAGAAACATGGACAGAGCCGACTGGCAGGTGAAAGGTTACAGCCCTCTTGAGATGGCAACACACGTTTTCCACATGGCCGAGCTATGGAACCAAGCTGCTAAACAGTATGACCTGGCGGCTAAACTGCTGGACCCAGAATCCGAAGTGTGTGGATGTATGAAGGATATTGAGAATAACGGTATCATGCAGTACATGAATCTGCTGGCCTTCAAGATCAGATACCCAGGGATTACCTCTGGAAATTCTACACTCACTGCTCCTTGTTAGTAGTTTTCCAGGCTATGGTCATCTTTATAATCAGATCTCGATTTTCTAACCACGAATTTTAAATTTTAAACATGTAGCTGCATCTTTTTATAGTAGGGAATTATTTCAGATCTAAGTCCCAGAAAGAAGAGAAGCAGCCCAAGCAGCCTTGGCTACGAGCTTGGTATCACCATAAAATTCTTAAAACCTGTTTGGCCTCGTCTGGCGGAGTTTGATTTTAGTGGTAGTGACGTGGAGGTAAGACTCAACATATAGGGGATACTGTTGGGGGATACTGTGGGGGGGGGTTATTGTTTGTTACGTGTTCGGTGTTCGGACTCAATAAAAATCAATACAAACCTTGCTCAAAACATTCGGAAACTATTCTACAGCGAAAATTTGCTTACATATAATAAAATGTTAGAAGAGAAAAGCCATCTGGCATTTTAGAACGCGAGGAGGATTAAATTAGTCCGAGGATTAGGACTCCTCGGACTACATTACATGTCCCTTAATAGTAATACCACTATCTTAACAGCTGCTGAGAGATGTTGCAGAGCAGCTCATTGATGGATCTGGAGTTATGACAACAAGCATTGACAGCGAGGAACATTGGGAATCCTGGAGGAAGATGGTAAAGAGCGCTATGAGGCAGGATCTTTACTATGACTTGGGCGTTTTCATGTTCTGTATGCTCAACTGAAGATGAACTTTTGGCAATTTAGGAAGTGAAACATTTTAATACAAAAGATTTCTTGACGTCTATATTAATTGTATCGTAACGTTAACTACGGTTTTCAATTGATTATTCTATAAATTACGGACATATCAATGATCCGAAGAGGGTTGCCAAATCCCAACCCCCTAAATTCGGAGGGAAGTTGCAACTTATACACTTTAAACATCTTGTTGTATGATGTTCAGCTACAGGGTTCGCCTTTTAAATCAAATAACTTATAACGTGCGGTAATTTCGGAATTTTATTGTTTGAAAAAGTTTGAATCAAATGTTTAAAACTTATAGTGAAGTAGTGTATAATATGTGTATTATTTTGTATTTTAGATGACATCAATTTTGATAACTCATAAGAACGATTTTTGGACATAATTAAAAAATAAATACAAATAACGACTGAACTGCAACAATCAGTATCATACATAATTCATTATGAAACTGAATGAAGGCAGAAATAACAACAGCTGAGTAATAATTAATATTAATAATGAATAACTCAGTGTTATGATGTGATAATGAATAACTCTGTTATAATGAATAACTTAGATATGATCATCAAAGATATTCAAGTAGGAAATACAAAAAAATAACAATAAATAAAGAACTCACGGATATATCGATCTCATCATGCGACCAGCCGACTCTGAGTACACAAGCATTCTGTTCCGTACTACTAGTGGTGTTCTCTAGTGCCAACACTTCAAACGCTATCTGAAGAATGAGAGGTGTCAACTGCAAAATAAAGTCAAAATTAAATAACTGTGATTACTGTAACCACTGGTAACTACTGGTAACCACTGGTAACCACTGGTAACCACTGGTAACTACTGGTAACCACTGGTTAGTGGTTACACAAATTAACACTGTTAATTGCTGGCACACCTGACTCACTTTAACCACCTCAACGTTCCTTATTACCACGTGATGAGACTGTAGTTCTATGATACACATGTCACATGTTCTTAACACGACTTTTGGTGATTTTCAGTTAAAAACCGAACCTCGGACCAGGTAATCCAAAGTAGAGCTGGGCCAGCTTAAAATCCGTATTTCAATACCTTGTGACAACACGAGTTCGGATAAGCTGGTAGTATTTTGATTTGTTTGGAGTTAAACCGTCTCGGTGTTTGAAGTTTCAGTGGAATAGATATCTCAATCTGTAGACACCCCGCAGTCTCCCCTTATATACTGGCTTATCACAAACAGCACAGTTATTATATTATCCTGATATCTATTTTGATACTGCATTACAATAAGATCCTGAGACTTAGACCCTAGCTAGACGGTACGTAACACGCCAGCATCTCCTATTATGATGTGGCTTTTGTAGATGGTTTCAAATTTTATGACGAGCTTTCCTCAACAGTCAGAGCTCAGGTTGTTTTGCCTATTTCCAGTGGAACCGTAAATAACACGACGCTCGTGACCTCTGTTACTAAGTTAACATTAAACCAGGTGCACGGCCGGAGCAGTAGGGGTTAACTTTAAAATACAAATTATCATGGAACCAGGTGTCAGAATATAAAATCACGAAATTTAGAACTTCGCGAATATTGGTATTTAGTACCGTAGTAACTCGGCTTGTGACGTAATTTTTCTAGAAGCAGTGTGATTTGGACTCAGGATTTTTAAAACGACTTTGGAAATCGTTATTTCATAAATATTTGAACTTCCTATAATATCGGTACGATTGCATCAGGGACCGTTCATAAATTACGTAAGCCAGATTTTCGCCATTTTAAACACCTCCACCCTCAGCTACCCAACACGTGGCTATTGGGTAGAAATTACACTAGCGTGAGCTATTGCCCCCTATGTTTTTTTTATCTAGACACTTATTTTACTTCGGTGTATTCCAACAGCCACAATGTTACACAAGTGCAACCAGCCAATTACAGGAAGCCGAAGGATCTTTTTGGCCAGTGACGGTTAAGGTAGTGTGTACCATACTTTCTTCGTCCGAGACTTTGCTGCAATGTGCAGCTCCTCATTTAACCCTCACACCCGATTTCTCGAGTATTCGGCTGAGTAGACCGGGGGGCTGCATAGACCACTCATGATCCTTAGCTGAACGTCGACGACGCTCACCCCACGACCAGGCAGTCAGTGGGTTTCGAACTCGCAACCTAACGATTGTAAGACAGGCGTTCTAACCAACTGCGCTACCTGGCCGCTGAAGTTGGCTATCGTAATATGTGAATTGTGAACGATCCCTTATCTCAGATTTATTACGAGGCAATAGCGAGTTGCCTAACTCTCAGGATTTTGTAATGACTTAAGTTGAGCTCTTAATGTTGAATTTTATAGAAATTTATGGGGCGGATATCTTTTCTCTGGTTACTTCTTCTGACCTTTCAGTTAGAGCTACTACCACGAATTAATGCGAGGTAATTTAATGTAATGAACAGATTTGACCGATTTCCAACAATAAAGAACGAACATGTAACTAACAGTTCCATCTTTCTCTCTCTCTCTCTCTACTTCAAACTCAGTCTAACCTATTACAGGCCCTGCAACCTGATCAAATCATATGGTCAAAATTCCATATTTAATACCTTTTATAACCTGTTTTAAACTTCTCCCAATTTTTGATACCCAAAACCACTCAACTCCACAAAACTTCAGCGCCCTCCAGCGAAGAAAAACAGTAGAATGGGACGAACTTTCCAATTTCTTTCGGAGTTATCTTTGCACAGGGGACCAGAGTTGGCCGAGAAAGCTAACGAAACCTAGTATGAAGTTGCTCAGTCTTTTCCTGGTGGGCATTTTTTGTGAGCAGCGTTTTGAATTCAGGGAGGTTTACGATGCCCTTATGGTAATGTTCGAGCAGGGGAGTCCAGATAAGTGTTATCAGGATGGCATGGTTACAGCGATCACAAGGTTGTTCTGCTGTAAGAAACTTTACCCCGTAATGCAAGACATGTTTCGGAGGTTCCACAATTGGTTCTGTGTTGGCGGTACAGACGAAGGTTCTTTATGTAACTTGTTCCAGCACTTTACAAACCGGGCAGCAGTGTTAGATATTTACAATTTTACTGGTAAGTTCAATGTATGTCGAGAGTGTCCCTACAGAGATGCAAAAGCCAACCAGTCACACTCCACTCGGCTAAAACGACAGTATAGTGTCAGGACTTTACTCTACTCAGTTTCCAGCATGTTTAAAACTCAGGAAGTTCCAATGAACCCAAAAGGGAAGTCAGTGTTGTTGCGCCAGTACCTGATAGTGGTCGGAGATATGGCTGACTGTTTGACGGAAGACATGATGGAGGAAGATTGGTTTTGAATTTTTATTTGTGACAATTTAACTGTAGTTGTACATCACCCGATACAAATTTTGTGTTCCAGATCAGTGCGCTGAGATCTGATCACCCTTATATTACATATTTCCATAGCACATAAAACATTTAAAGAACGACCAGATCATTTCATCGTCAAAAAATATATCATACATATACCAAAATATTTGATTCATCAGAGTCCGTGCGATCTTCGAGGGCATAGCGTCCGAGGAAAGAGGGATACAAATATGATGTGGTGAATCAAATATTTTGGAATATTTAGATAATTTCAAGCCTCAATCCTGTATCTCTTCCGCTATACTTGGTTGTCACTGGTTTACTTCAGTCAGTGTGGAATGAACTCTCATTTCAATTTCGCATGTACGGCTGTAAGACGTAAGTGTACGTGCACAAGCGTTTGAATTCAGACAAGCGTGCGATAAAACTCATGAGCCAAATCATTTTACAAATCTCATGTTCTGCATAAATAATCTCTCAAAAACCACTCAGCGAATCCAATAACTGCGTCACGTAAATTACTGACCTTCACCTATACCTAATGTCCCCGGAACAATCCTACTAATTGCAATTATAAATCATTCTTAAAGTTCAACTGTTTCTACCAGGTAGGGTTATCTGATTAGGATAACAGATGGTACTGTGTGGTCAGCAGTATTTACTCCCGACAGGTCTGATTGTCAGGTGTACTACAAATCGTTGTAGTAGTACTTCTGACTTCGTGCCCCAGAGAATCGTGCTCCAGTGAAGCAGGGTAAGAGTTATGGTCAAGGTGAGGGTATGGATTAGAGGTAGTGTTGGGGATAAGATTAGGGTTAGGGTTAGGGTTAAGTAAAGGGTCCACGACGTTTTGAGGCACGAAGTCGTGAGTTAACTTAACTGAGAACATCTGCAATTGCAGGTTCTATTTATACAGTCCACACGTATTTAAAGAAACAACGAGTAATTTTAACAGATCACAACGAACCAACTTGACAAACAAACTGGGACAAAAACAAGGAACTCTGCTGGAACCATCTCCCTCTATCAGTTGCGGGGGTAACTGATTGCTGGGGTAACTGGTTGCTGGGGTAACTGGTCAGTTTGTTGAGGGCAGTGAGCCCAGAGTTGTCTCTGAGAAAGTGAGCTGCATTGGGAAATAGTTAAGATCATCTTTTCACTGGAAAATCGAGTAGTCCGTGAGTGCTGATTTGGTAAGTTTGAGGAAAGGCTGGGTAACCGGCGCGGCGAATTAGATATTTGGAAGCTTCTGGAATGAATTTTGAAAATTCACGTTCATGAAGCCGACAAGCATAAAATTCGAGTATTTTTTGACACGTTTAAAACACTACAATAAAAAATGGAGACAAAACATTCGACTGATCATCGGAATTTGTGGACTCCTACTTTGTGCTAGTTGACCTCGAAATATGTATTGCCTATTGAAATACAAATGTTTTGTTTGTTTGATGATATCGAGATTCGAGATGCAAGGTTTTGTGTTTTTGTCATATCGTGTCAGAATTGTACTCGTTATGACGCCGTTTAACTTTGAGGCCAGGTTACCCAGTTCTCAACCTCGAATTTACTTAGGGTTCGTTCATATATTACGTAAGCCACTTCGTCAGCCACTTTAAACATTCTTCTACACGTTTCAGTGTAGAAATAACACTGGAGCAATTCTTCCAAAACCACCTACCCACTAGTGGTGGCTTACGTAATATATGTTAAGTGAACGAGCAAATTTGATTTTGAACGCGATAAAAATGTGGGTAATGATTAGGAGGTGGTATTTGATTGGTCGATGCTGCAAGCTGATGGGATCAAATCACTGCCAAAACCACCTCCCCATTATTTCCCATACTTATGAATAATCTTCATCTTTTCAATCATATATACTACCCAAAGTGGTCGCTACACACTACACAGAGCTCTCACATTTCAAAATCCATGTCCAAGTTGGACAGCTATCCTACTAAAATATTCAAGTCTATTGAATAATGTATTTGAGTTTTGGACGGGAGAAACCGTACCACTCAGCAAATCTTCTAGCACTCCAAATGAATTTTTACGGCTATATTGTCGATGGCCAGGTGAGTAAACACTGAATAATATTCTGATCTGAGATATAATAGTGTGTTTGTCGTATCGAAGTATTCCGCGATCGGTTGGTCAACGGTGGGATTTCTGTAGCTGAAATAGAAAAACCGAAACACAAAGTCTAAACCGAAAAATGATCCTTTCCTATGACTTAATTAAAGCAAATGCTGAGCTACTCAACTTTCCTCATATTTCAGAATCATTATTACAGACTAAAACTGAGTCATGAAAAGGCTTCCAGTGGCGTCAAAATTTAAAAAACTTAGTTGTTATGGACGTTAAAAACGTTTTGCCCCAAAACATCGTCCCCGTGCGCCTGGTTAAAGCAGTATAATATTTAATTAGCCCTTAATTTATTCATTTAGCCCCTTCATAACTTGTTGTGAGATTGATATGAATAAACTTACAATTACAAAACCAAGAACGTTTTTTATCGGTTTTTTCAAAAAATGGTTAAAAAATTTGTATTCCAAAATGAACCGACCAAGTATGAACAACTAAGTAAAAAAGCAGCATGTTCAATTTTCATAGGAGTCAGAATAATTTGCTGTGTAAATTTTATTCTAATTTTGACAACCAAAAAACCAATACCAAGATTGAAAGAAACGCTTCGGCGTTTGTTTTTTAGTAGAATTTTCTGTCTTGGAACAAAAATCATTTTTATGCAACACTGTAGGATTCTTACTTCAGCCCATAGAGTAACCTCGAAAAACCACCTACGGTTATATGATATATCGAGCCAAAATTCACTTTATTTTCGCAGATATATAGAAATAAATCTGGAATATCTTATGGCGACTGGTTTTTTGGGTTCCCCAACCGCACTTAACACTTTTAACCAGGAAATATGGTGACTCATCATAATTATAAATGCCTTTCTAAAACTGTTGAGATTCAAGGACTTATAAATTTCGTCGTGATTAAGATTGAAGCACTAACTTAAACCCTCGCCAGTTACCATTTTACTTCTTTGTTGCTTTAATAAGTTACAAAACGACGCCTTGGCAACAATGACATCCGAACTTGATGATCACTCCAAAAGATAGACTATAATATAATGGTGCCTTTTTTCTATAAATGGAGTGCTATTGATCTGAGAGCTACTTGGACGATTCCTGGAACTCATATCTTTTGATTCAGATTTGGGATTGTTCACGTATTACGTTAACCAGATTTTTGCTATTTTAGACCCCTTCCCTCCTCCGTAAGCCATTTAACACATAACACTTGTGTAGTAATTACAGTAAGCTTTTCCGAACCCCCCCCCTGGCCCCTAAGCTGGCTAACGTAACAGGTGAACGACCCCTTGTACGATTCTTGGAACTCGTATCTGTTGATTTAGATTACACCATGACTGGTCTTTCCACGCTTTCAAGATTTAAGACATCTTCGCTTCCAAAGGTTCTCCTCTTCCTCAGGTCAGCTGTAAATCTCTAAAAAGAAAATGGTTATAAAATAAGTTATAATTTGATGATATACTTATGCTAAAGGAACTATAATTCAACTCGAGAGAAAATTGAACATTGGTGGGTGCGTGATCACATTTTCCGCCATTAACTTTTGTGAATTTTGATATCAATATATGGAGAAAAGAAGTCGGAAAAATGTCTGCCATTGATGGCAAAAATAAATTTTCCCATTCTCATCATGAATGGCGAAAATTTACAATAATCATAAATGGCGAGATGCGACGACAAACCCACCAACATTAATGAAAGCTGCAAATGAATAGCAATTGAACAAATCTGGTACTGGATCCAGTTTTAATTTTTATCTACTATGTATCCTTTGGTCGAAACAATTGTCTCTTGGAGGTTGAGAGTTGTACTTTTATTTAGCATCTAAATTGGACTGTTATTAGTCTCACTATTAAGAGATAAATATTAATAATTTACGGAGATACAGGTTCGTGAGGAATGACGTCTCGTAAACTCATCTGGATCCTAAACAAGCTGTCCTGGGGCCGCAGTATCCGCGGTGAACGAAGGCCTAGCATGAAATAATAGCTAAGTTGGCTTAGTGACGAGATCCGAACCAAGCGCATAAGACCAGCATATCTGCAACGGTCAAAGCTATGAGAACAATTTGAACAGGGGCCATCTTTTGGACATTTACATTTATGCTTATAATTGATATGAGTGGACTCTTCAAGATTCGAGTAGATTTACAGGTTAGGAGCATAATCTTGGTTTTTTATTCATCTACGCTGATGAAGGCCATCTCGGAGTTATCGCTGAGTACTATCACTAAGTATACAACTTGCAAGCAAAAGACCAAGTATACGCCCGCAAGGGTAACCGCACTACATTGCTAGACCACTATATTGCGACAACATTATATTGCGACAAGGATATCCTGGTTCTCCTCAATCACAAGGAGGAATTAAGGTGAGCCGTACTCGAGGAACGAAAATTTCCTTTTCACTGATTAATTTTAATTAAGTTAAATTTTGTTTATAATAATTAAAAGCGTTGTCGCAATACAGTGCGGGAACCACTTAAAAGACGTACGTGATTTATTACGTGAAGCAGTCGCTCGCCAGCTATGTGTTTAAGAGCGTGGTCCGTTTCGTGAGATCGAGGTTTAAAAACCTATAATAAATAAAACAACTTTGAATAATACTCCACTTGTTTGTTTTTTTTCCCCCGGTACGTATCGGTGCCTCATGGAGAGCAATTTTGGTACAAAACGATGATTCAAGTAAATAAGTAGTGCTTATATATAGTGATCACTTCCATTCCAGCTTTTTGCCTCCTAATAGTAATACTGTTAATTTACTGTTGACTGAGTTATGAAATATGTTAATTCAGCTTTGCTAACGCTGAACACTATACGTAAATGGGGCACTTTATAATATGGGCTCATGTAAACATCTTAAAACTTCACCTCTATTAAAAGTTCCAGAAAAGGATCCAATTAATACCCATTACCCAACCAATATATTATCGCTATGACCATGTCTTTTTTATCAAAGGTACTGTTCTCTGAAAAATTACGCAGAAAACTGCAAGGCGATGCGTAACGCGGGGGATGTAAACAACTTTCAAAATATTTCGAACCGAATCGAACAGAAATATAGTGAATATCCTCCCATATCCTATTTCTTCTTCTAGCTATCTAAAAAACCCCATATGATATGACGAGATCTTCATCAATCGTGGTTAGCAGAAGACATAATTTACGGGATCAGAGTGTAGTGAGATCTAGATGGGTGTTGCTGAAATAAGTTGCTTTCTTCGACCCGTATTTAATATTGAAATACCTAACTCAAAACTAGAAACCTTCTTTATGTCTCTATAAACCCACGTGACTATTATCGCATTTTTATCGGAAACAGATATAATTATCGTCACTGACGGTGTACAAGGAGAATTGCGCAAACATGGCTATAATAGCTGTCGGGGAAACTTTGCGGATCATGCATTAAATAAGTTTTGATTATTGGTGATTTTATTTTATAGTAGATTCGTAGATAAATACTAAAATCTTCGCAACAATGCATTATATTACGTAATAACTATATACCCAGTAGCAAACTCAATAACATTAAAGAACTAACTAAAGCAAATCAATAATAGAAGGAATGTGAAAATCCGAAGAAAACTATCGAAAAGAACAAACCTGTCAAATAAGCAGATCGTCTTGTTGGTGTCACTAGATGAATAACCGCCGACACAGGAGCAAAGCATGGCTACCCTAAATAAGAATAATGTTCTTAAATATTGGTCAAGTTTCTATCAAACAAATACAATTTCCATCTGAAAGTAAGAGTTAAAGATGAGATCCCTTCCTGAAAACGAAGAGTTAAACAAACAGACGTAAAACAAACGAACAAACGAACGGACAAAACACAATAACCAACAGCAAGAACAACAAACTAATCCATCATTAATGAAATTTTCAAGCATACCTTGCCCCCAGAAACACCGTGAGTAGCGCGAAGCGAGGCCCACAAGCAGTCAAACCCAGCTGTACTCTTCGGGATACCCGTCACACCGTCTTTATCAACGTCAAGGTAGAGGTCACACAGGTACTCACTAATGTACACCTGATGGGGAGTCAGGAATTCAGCGGGGTTTCAAGTGACATTCTAAGCTAACTTAACAAATATCGAGAGAGCCTCGGCATTTTTTTTCAGCATTCAAGTGGGATTATACATTTTAGAGGTTAAAGGGGGGGGGGGGGGTGTCATGTCCGTCTATGTCCGCCTATGTCCTGTCCTTTTTGGATTCTATGAGACAACGGACGTGTTTTTTGGGACAACGGCGGACACGGACGGACATTGGCGGACTCGGACGGACATTGGCGGACTCGGACGGACATTGGCGGACTCGGACGGACATTGGCGGACCCGGACGGACATTGGCGGACTTGGATGGACATTGGTGGACATTAGCGGACATTGGTGGACATTAGCGGACAAACATTTTTAGGACTGAAGAATACTGAAGAGTACTGAGGAGGATGGCTGAGAAGGATGGCTGAGGAGGATGGCTGAGGAGGATGACTGAGGAGGATGACTGAGAGGGAGGAGAAGGATCAGGAAGACCCAGGAGGAGGAGGAGGAGGAGGACCCAGAAGGATGACTCAGGAGGAGGAGGACTCAGGAGGAGGACTGAGGAGGACTGAGAAGGAGGAGGACTGAGGAGGATGGCTGAAGAGGATGGCTGAGGAGGATGACTGAGAGGGAGGAGGAGGAGGAAGAGGAGGAAGAGGACTGAGGAGGAGGAGGAGAAGGACTGAGGAGGAGAAGGAGGACCCAGGAGGAGGAGGACCCAGGAGGAGGAGGACCCAGGAGGAGGACCCAGGAAAAGGCCCCAGAAGGGGGAGGAGGACTGGGGAGGAGGAGAACTGTTGAGGACTGATGAGGAGGACTGAGGACGAGGAGGAAGAGTAGGAGGAGGACTGAGGAGGGGAGGAGGAAGAGGACTGGGGAGGATCAGGAAGACCCAGGAGGACCCAGGAGGAGGAGGAGGAGGAGGAGGACCCAGGAGGAGGAGGAGGACTGAGGAGGACTGAGGAGGACTGAGGAGGAGGACTGACGATGACTGAGAAGGAGGAGGACTGAGGAGTACTGAGGAGGATGGCTGAGGAGGATGGCTGGGGAGGATGGCTGAGGAGGATGACTGAGGAGGATGACTGAGAGGGAGGAGGAGGAGGACTCAGGAGGAGGACTCAGAAGGAAGAGGAGGAGGACTCAGGAGCAGGACTCAGGAGGAGGACTTAGGAGAAATGAGAAGGAGGACTGAGGAGAACTGAGGAGGAGGAGGAGGAGGAGGACTGGGGAGGAGGAGAACTGTTGAGGACTGATGAGGACTGAAGACGAGGAGGAAGAGTATGAGGAGGACTGAAGAGGGGAGGAGGAAGAGGACTGGGGAGGATCAGGAAGACCCAGGAGGACCCAGGAGGAGGACCCAGGAGGAGGAGGAGGACTGAGGAGGACTGAGGAGGAGGACTGACGATGACTGAGAAGGAGGAGGACTGAGGAGTACTGAGGAGGATGGCTGAGGAGGATGGCTGGGGAGGATGGCTGAGGAGGATGACTGAGGAGGATAACTGAGAGGGAAGAGGAGGAGGACTCAGGAGGAGGACTCAGAAGGAAGAGGAGGAGGACTCAGGAGGAGGACTCAGGAGGAGGACTTAGGAGAAATGAGAAGGAGGACTGAGGAGAACTGGAGGAGGAGGAGGAGGACTGAATAGGAGGAGGAGAAGGAGGGGGACTGGGAGAGGACTGGGGAGGAGGAGGACTGATGAGAAGGATGAGGAGGAGGACCCAGGAGGAGGAGGACTGAGGACCGAGGAGGAAGAGGAGGAGGATGAAGAGGAGGAGGAGGACCCAGGAGGAGGAGGACTGAGGAGGAGGACTGAGGAGGACTAAGGAGGATGGCTGAGGAGGATTACTGAGAGGGAAGAGGAGGAGGAGGAGGAGGAGGAGGTGGACTGAGGAGGACTGAGAAGGAGGAGGAGGAGGAGGACTGAATAGGAGGAGGAGGAGGGGGACTGGGGGAGGACTGAGGAGGAGGATGGAGGACTGAGAAGAAGGATGAGGAGGAGGACTGAGGAGGACTGAGGACTGAGGAGGAAGAGGAGGAGGATGAAGAGGAGGAGGAGGACTGGGGAGGAGGAGGACTGTTGAGGACTGATGAGGAGGACTGAGGACGAGGAGGAAGAGTAGGAGGAGGACTGAGGAGGGGAGGAGGAAGAGGACTGGGGAGGATCAGGAAGACCCAGGAGGACCCAGGAGGAGGAGGAGGAGGAGGAGGACCCAGGAGGAGGAGGAGGACTGAGGAGGACTGAGGAGGAGGACTGACGATGACTGAGAAGGAGGAGGACTGAGGAGTACTGAGGAGGATGGCTGAGGAGGATGGCTGGGGAGGATGGCTGAGGAGGATGACTGAGGAGGATAACTGAGAGGGAAGAGGAGGAGGACTCAGGAGGAGGACTCAGAAGGAAGAGTAGGAGGACTCAGGAGGAGGACTCAGGAGGAGGACTTAGGAGAAATGAGAAGGAGGACTGAGGAGAACTGGAGGAGGAGGAGGAGGACTGAATAGGAGGAGGAGAAGGAGGGGGACTGGGAGAGGACTGGGGAGGAGGAGGACTGATGAGAAGGATGAGGAGGAGGACCCAGGAGGAGGAGGACTGAGGACCGAGGAGGAAGAGGAGGAGGATGAAGAGGAGGAGGAGGACCCAGGAGGAGGAGGACTGAGGAGGAGGACTGAGGAGGACTAAGGAGGATGGCTGAGGAGGATTACTGAGAGGGAAGAGGAGGAGGAGGAGGAGGAGGAGGTGGACTGAGGAGGACTGAGAAGGAGGAGGAGGAGGAGGACTGAATAGGAGGAGGAGGAGGGGGACTGGGGGAGGACTGAGGACTGAGAAGAAGGATGAGGAGGAGGACTGAGGAGGACTGAGGACTGAGGAGGAAGAGGAGGAGGATGAAGAGGAGGAGGAGGACTGGGGAGGAGGAGGACTGTTGAGGACTGATGAGGAGGACTGAGGACGAGGAGGAGGAGTAGGAGGAGGACTGAGGAGGGGAGGAGGAAGAGGACTGAGGAAGATCAGGAAGACCCAGGGGGAGGAGGAGGAAGAGTAGGAGGAGGAAGCATCTAAATGTTATTTCCATTTTTGTCCGTTTTTGTCCGTTTTTGTCCGCTCTATTTTTTGTCCGTTTTGAAAATATAGGGTACCGAACGGACAAAAAACATGATCCCCTATAACAGCAAAAATTGAACATTTTATTTAGCAATTTAGGTGTCCATTAATGTCCGCCTATGTCCGCCTATGTCCGCCTATGTCCGTCTATGTCCGCCTATGTCCGCCTATGTCCGCCTATGTCCGTCTATGTCCGCCTATGTCCGCCTATGTCCGCCTATGTCCTGTCCTTTTTGGATTCTATGAGACAAGCGGACATAGACGGACGTGACACCCCCCCCCCGTTAAATAACAAATTTTTGTTTAATTTCATTATCTGTCGTTTGTTTTTCCTACAGTTAAATTCTATTCCTTGTTTGACAAACCTCCGTGAGATGTGGAACGCTCTCTTCGGCCACTGGATCAGGTTTTGTAACCTCCGGTTCTGGAGCAGGTACTACTTCTGCAGGGGCTTCGGGAGCTGGAGCAGGCTTGCTGGATTCAGCTGTATCCATTAGCTCGTCTTTCTTTGGCTCAACCGCTTTTTTAGGCTGCTCTTCTACGGCTTTGGGTTCATCTTTAACAGCTGGTTTTACAGCTGGGACTGGAAATTCTTGAACCTGGTGGCAATAATAAGTCAAACCAATCAAAAATTGTGCAGGTAAAATTTTCTGCACAATAACAATTCGCACTTATTGAAATGTTTCCTCACAGGACGAGAAAAGTTGTATATTGAACTTACTTCGCTTTTATCTTTACTTTCAGTTCTGATGTTGGAGCTGCTTGGTGATGAGTTCATAGGGCCACGGTTGTTCCCACCGCGGAAATTTACTCGCCCGCGGAAATTGTTGTTCTGGAAACCTCCTGAATTAAGAGTTTACTCGAGGGGTCAAGAAAATATGCTTATTGGTGGCTCTAAGAGGTTTCTAGGACACGAATAAAGCGAAATTGAATGTTTAAGAAAAGAACTTATAAGGTTCTGTACAAAATTATTCACTGACCTCTATCTCTAGAGGGGCCTCTGGGGCCATCGTGGCCTCGATCTCTAGGAGGGCCTCTAGGCCCCGGTCCGTTATCTCTAGGAGGTCCTCTAGGCCCGGGTCCACCCATCAAGTTCATGGGCTGTCGGTCCCGGTGTTGCTGGAATCCTCCTCGTCCTCCTCTAGGTGGACCGCCTCCTCTCATGAGGTGGCGAGGGGGCCCTCCCGGACCAGGACCCCCAAACCGGGGATTTCCTCTGAATCTCGACATGGACTACTTGATAAGTTAAGGGATTAATTCAAATGGTAATTTGCTTCTACGGTCTAGATTCTAATAATATGATATATTTTCAAGACTTCCTGCAGAAGATGTAAAGCGATGATAACAACGGCAGTTCAGGCGTTTTTAAATTTAAATTTCAGAAGAATTAAAAGTTATAGCCCTGTGAAGTAAAACTCAAAGTAAGAAAGCTGTTTACAATCAAGATGTCTAAACTCTAAAGGCTCGAATAAATAAGGTTACATAAAATGGAAAACAAGTTTGTACTTTCAGCCCTATCACTGGGCCCCAATGCTATAAATTTGAAGGTCTTTTTATCAAACGAGCCAAAAAACAAGAAATTAACCACAACCGAGTAACCAAGAGAAAACTGGATCACTGAGCGAGAGCCGTGTTTTAAGTTTTGTTCTTCTTTCCTCTTGGTTGTAGTGGTTGACCGGCATCCTTACCTCTCAGGTGGACTCCTGTACAAAATAGCTATCAAGACTCGACACAAAAGGTTTAATTTTGAACGGTTTGAAGTAAAAAAATATGGATGATAGAAATATGGATGGGGATGATCGGTAAATCTTTACAAAGTAGCATAAATAAGGATGATAATTGAAAATTATTAAGCTTACCAAGACATCGCTCCATCTTGCTTTGGACTTGGTTGTTGGGTAGACCCTTACCAGTTTCGTACTCTTGAATTATTTGAGGCTTCTCGTTAATTCTCTGAAAAAAAACAACGCTTAATATAAATAGTACCACCCGTATTCACACTCAGAATTGAGTTTAGTCATTTTCCAATACGAGATTGGGGACGGGTTCTATAAACAAACAAACACATCCTTCATAATAAATATCCATTCATGACAGTCATTCGTTAAAAACAAAGACCTTTTAATATGGTGGTACGTGACAGGCGCGCGCGAAAACATACACAAATGTTTGAAGCGAATCCTTGCTCTATGAAAATGTCGGTGCCCGGGTGCCGCCGACGAACTCGGTAGGGCTTTTCAGCAATTTTCCAAAACATTATTGGCCACACTTATAAATTTACTGTGCTAAAGTTTGCCAATCACAGTACTGTTAATAAGCTTAGTAGTTAAAATTTTTCAAAAGCAGTGGGGGCTGCGCCACTTTGCTATCGTGGGTCGAATATTGTCAGCAGTCAGTGTATTGCGTGACCGACCTTCAGTGCCCCTTTAAAAGATCACTGTTCGGACACAACGCACAGAAATTACCCCAAATATAGCAGCAAACCTGGGCCATATCTTTCTGAGTCCATCCCTTAGCAGTTCTCGCTTCTCTCAGATGTTTACTGAAATCTTTGGTCACTCCTTCATCTGTTAAAGTTTACCGTTCATATAATGTGAAATTGTGAAATTAAGAAAATTAAAAGTACGAGGTGCTGGTGTCCCAAAAAGGTAATTCAGGGGTGATCAGTGATAATAAATCAAGAGCGGGTTGAGAACATCATTTATCTTTTACAGCGGTAATAGCGTATGACCTCTGGAGTCAGTGAACAATTTTCAGGTATTAAGTCTTAAGACATTTTTGGAAGGAAATTCGTTGAAACACAAACCCACGTTTTAGCTCTTCGGTTTCTCGGTCCAAGTTTGCTGTGTTTTTCTGTACTGTCCTCTGCTGGTTACCACCACCCCCGTCTGAAGGAACACACAAAGTTTATATTTAAGATGTGCTGATTTAAAAATTGAAATAACGTCCACTGATTTAGAATTAGACCCTCGCCCATTTGATTTAACTAACATTTTTTATCAACAGCGACATTGCCAGACCTTGCAGCTTTGTTTACGGCCTGAGAATAAGGTTATCATTAATGGTGTTATGATAATACAAATTAATCAAATGCGTTCAACTCAAGATTAATGAGATCTATAAAAGCTATTATTCAGGAAATGAAAAGAAATGAATTTCACGGTTAGGATTTTTCTCAAAAAAAGCATATGAAAAAATAAGAAAATAGCACTCACTGAAGTAGATTTTCTGTCTTTTGCAGTTGATTTTCTGGAAAGGACTGTGTCCTGTGTTTGCCAATCACTCGACATTTCTGTATAAATAATTCAAACTCATTCATTTGAAATTTAAGATTTCATAATAAAGGACTGAACATCAAAAACTTGTCCACATAAACTTTAGCAGTCACTGGAAGCAGAATGGGTTCTTTGTAATGATAATTATATACAGTCAATTCATACGAGGTAGTTCAAACGACACTACTGTTCATAGAAAAACAATTAAAAAATAAATTATTAAACAAACAGAAACTATGGCTCCCAAAATGAGAATTCACTTTACAATTTTTTTAAAACCCAATGACAATCGTTTCGCAATTTTTTATCTCACGTCATTGTATTATGAAGTTTTAAAATCCGGTCACGGAAAGAAAACAAAATGTATTATTGGGGGGTGTCCAACCCCAAAATGGGAATTTGAGGTAAAATGGGTATTTTGGGGTTATTACATAAAATCGTATGGTTTGGCGCAATTTAAAAGCTCTGCAAAATATCAATGAAAACTTTACACAGCTGGCAAGTTGCAGAAGAAAATAGCAATGATCACAGAATAATTGTCAAAACAACTCTCTGTTTTATCAATCAGCAAATTCCACAGTAATATTACCATTCTGAATAATGTAAACCAGAGGCTTTCCTAAGCTGCTAACCTTTTGCAACTGTTCTCGCAACTGATTGTAAATTGGTTTTTTAGCTGCAACTGGGGTCGCTTCAGCTTGAGGTTTTACGACCGTGTTCGATTTTTGAACAACCTGTTCTTGCACTGGTGATTTTGATACATCCGATTTCACATTTGATGAACTGTTGAAAATACTGTCAGTTGAAATTGGAGGCTCCTCCAAAAACCAAGGTTTCATTGGACGCATTACATTTGAATTTGTATCATGTTTCCCTGAATCCACATCAGTGTTCACTGACAAAGGTTTACCGGTATTTTGAGGATTATTCGATACATCTTTGACCGACTGAGGTTTAGGTTTATTGACTACTTTAGGAGGGGGTCCCCAAGGGGCAGGTTCCTGCTTGGGAGTATAAAGAATATCTTCTAAAGATTGGGTAGGCTGCTTTGTAGCCTGCTTTAGATAAGAGATAGATTGGGGTTGACTGATAGAATTATTTGAACTGATAGGCTTTTCTAGAGAAGACCGGTTTTTATTTATGTCAACGCTGTTTTGGATCCAGCTCTTCCCGTCCTGACTGTCAGTTCTGTTTCTCTGTCTGCCGCTCATCCCTTTGTCACCACTACGATCCTTACTAACTTTAGTTCCAAGCACAGCTGAAAAGTCTGCAGGTTTCGGCCTTTGGGGCTGACTGCCGAATCCTTTCCCACGTTTTGGACCCTGCTTGTTCGCGGCTAAAGACGGAAAAAGATCCATAGCCTGGAAATCTGGCGCAGGGCCAGACCAGCCGTCGTCATAACCCCAATCAGGGGGCGGGTCAGCAGCAGCAGGCTCTGAAGCTACACTGTCCCAGATATCTCCTGACGAGTTACCCCACGTGTCAGCCCATCCACCCCAGTTATCTGAAATGTTACACTATAACAAAACAAGTGCATAAATAGTGAGGATTGGGGGGGGGGGGGGGGGGGGGGGGGGGCGGGGGGCTACACAAGCAAATTTTATAATCAAGATATTTTGGACAGTTAATACGCCATGTAACAGTAAATCTTAAAGTCGTTTACGAACCGGTGGGAACGGTTGAAGAAGGCACTCCCCAACCCGAGGAGTCTGAAGACCATGCTGCAGAGACGCCAAGCTTTAGTTTCTTAGGCATCCTTACTTTTCAGTTCATTACATATTGTTAATATCTGGATTAGTTAGTTATGTTACTAATATTTTATAGCAGATAATTATTATCAGAAGTTTTGATAAACATAGCTTGACTTATAAGTTAATTACTGACTAGGAGGCCCCATGTAGCCTCCAGGCTCGACAAATCCCGACAAACCCTGACAAACCCCGCGCCGACGTGTCGAGATATGTCGTATCATGTCGGGCCCACCGGCTACATGAGGCCTACTAGGACTGTTGTCAAATTTTACCTTCAATTTTACGATTTAAAAATCGAATTTTGATCGAGTAAAGGGTGATGATGACGATGTATCATCAAGAAATGATGGTCTAAACCTGGATATCACAAATATCACGTTCAAGATTATATTATATAGATTGTACAAAAGCACATACCATAATAGATTTCAATAGAAATACTTTTACATTCCATTTTAATAGCAACTCGACAAGAGATCCAGCCCTTGTTTACATTGTCTTATCTATAATCTAAACTCCTACAGCTCGGGCTATTACAAATCAACCCTCATATAACAAATATACCTCTAACAACTTCAGCCAAAGTTTCCAACATCATTTCCAAACAAAAACCATGAAACCCTATAATATGAAAACCAAGAGTTAAATGTCACTGTGCGATCCAATGTACGTCAGAGCTGGGTTTAAATATGTGATAAATTAAGAGATCTCCATGACCTCTTCATCAGTGACCTTGAGGGCTGAGAACGGGACCATTTCATGAGAGCTTGTTACCACAGTGGTTCCAATGGGGAAAGTGTAGTCTCCTTGTCTGCAAATTATATTGATTAATTTTAACTGTTAAAATAAATTAAATTATGGATTAAGTTGTGATTCGTTGCTATTTCATACGTCCTTTGCTCATACAATCTACCAAAGCTAAACTTAATGCTTAATTAAAAACGGGTCCCATTAATTACTGATCATGACAGTGATTATGACGTCATTGTACTCAGTTGTAAGGGAGGGCGAGTGAGTTGTATTACCCTGAGAGTTAGTGCTACCTCCAACTGAGACACAGACCCCCGCTTAAAAGTATCATAACCCTAATTCTGTGTTTAAATCCCTCATCTTAACATCCCCCTCTCATAAACCCCTGGTTTAGCTAATTATATATAAGAGTTGCAAGACACAAGGGAGCCGCGCCGGGATATTTGGTTATTACACGGGTAGCTGTTGTTCCGTATCCAGAGAAAAAGTGCTAGACAAATTTGACGATTAGGAGCTATCTTGTGTCATATCACTGATACTATTGTTCCAAGTGTTGGAGATGAGAAGGCTAGGTTAGAGAGCTGGAGGTGTCACGTGATAGGTGACTTAGCGCAGACCTCACCTCATCTCTAACAACATACTTATAGGACACCAAAGGAAATCCTTCAAAAAGCCGACAGTTAACAGTGCAGTGTTTTGTTTTCTGTAAGTTATCCGTTAGGCAAGTCCATGGATTCAGAGATTGTTATAGCAGGAGTTGCCTGTCGATTCCCTGGACTTGATAACGCTCAGCGGTTTGCAGAGTTTGCCAAAGTGCCCGATGGTAAGTTGATCTATCCAAGGGTTATAGCAAAAGATGAACTAGACACATCACAGTTCTGCGTACACGCACACCAGGCTGAGAACTGTGACCCCCAGATTAGGATCCTGCTACATTGCGCACGAGAGGCACTGTGTGATGCTGGAATAAACCTTACGCCAACTCTCAACACTGCGCAGGGGAACAAGCCTGTCATCGGGTGCGTGGTCTCATGTGAGGTCAGTGACTTCGGGGAATCAGTAGGTTACGACATTCCTGCTCTCTCTGGCTACGGTGTTCTAGGGGGCTGCAGGGCCATGATAGCTAACAGGATATCATTTGAGTGTAACCTAACAGGACCTAGTTACACAGTAGCAAGCGGGAACAGCCTGGTAGCTGTCCACAACGCAGTATCTCTGATACGTGATGGGAGATGTGATGTGGTGATTGTAGGTGCTATAGAGCTCAACATCAAGGCTAGCTACACCAGAGTGGTGAAGATAATGGATCCGGAGATTGAGAGGTGTGAGGGTGGGGGAATTATTGTCATCGCTAAACGAGGGCAGGCGACTAAAGTGTATGGAACTATCGAGAATACCTGGTTAATGTTTGTTGGGTCAAGTAATGATGGTGAGGTAGCGAGAGGGATGGAATCTATTTGGAGGACAGTAGCTGATAGTAATCAGAATGGAGAGGGATTAGATCCGGTTCAGGTGCTCGGTGATAATAGTTGGAACAGAAACATTGGTCACATGGAGGAAACATTGCTGGAGGGTATGACTCATAAGAGTCCATTTGAATACCAGCTGCATGGCACGATTGCAAGGTTTGGTGATCTTGGTCCAGTAGCTGGCTTCACGACACTACTTCTTGCTGTGTTCCAAAAAGCTGCCACAATCCCAGCTACATTCATCACAGCTTGTGGACTGACGGGTTCTTACTGCATCATCAAGTATGAAGGAGCTGTTTCAGAGCACGTTCCTAGCGGGGTACCCAGATATCTAGCAGTTGCAGCTCACAACAGTGTCACAGTACAGAACATCATGCACTACTACCGCAACTCTTCTCACAAGGCTCGTTTATACGATAACCTAAATATGAGATTTAGGTCTGGTTCTGCGAGGGGAGTTTATGATTATCTGTCTGACACGACGGAAACAGGTACCACACAAAGTAGACCACTTTGGTTAGTAGTCGGAGGGGTGGGGGCTAATTGGGAGAGGATGGGGCAAAGTCTCATGAAAATACCAGGCTACAGTTCTTCAGTCACCGCAACTAAGAAGATATTGAATAGTTGCAGCGACGCGCAAATCAGTGGCAGTGTTTATGATATGCTGGTGTCGTTGCTGACGTTTCAAATCGCACACATAGATCTGTTGAAGGAGCTGGGAGTAAAGTTAGAAGGAATTATAGGGCATAGTTTCGGGGAGATAGGTGCCCTGTACGCAGCAGGAACCATAACCCGGGAACAAGCAGTGAACTGCGCTGTACACAGGGCTTCATCTGTTGATAAAAGCGCTGAGGGTGCAATGTTAGCAGTCACACTCCCAGCTAAGATGCCAGATATCAGAGGCTGGATTGGAAGAAAACTTAGTAGTTTTCATGTGGATCTGGCTTGTTTGAACAGCTCTAAATCTTTTGTTATCTCAGGAGATCAGCAAGAGGTGGAGAAAGCAAGGTTAAAGTTAGAAAAAGGGGACGTGAGATGCACTTTGTTGAAGACACATAACAAAGCATTCCATTCCAGGCACATGCTGCCTGTTTCAGCATTCTACAAGGAGAGTCTAGATAACATATTTCCAACTTCCTTATCTCCACCGTCAAACTTCTACAGCACCTCTCAGCAGGGAATGTTCCAGATTGACGCAGACTATTTCGTGACCAACATGACAGAGCAAGTCAGGTTTTATGACACCTACATCAGCAGAATCCCCACAGATGCAGTGGTTCTAGAGCTCTCTCCACATCCTATGTTCTGTAGAGGATTAGAACACGACATCCCTGGTGTGACCTGTATACCACTCTGTTTGAGAGAACAGCAGCACCAACTGGTAAAAGCACTGAAACAGATCCACCTGATTAACAGTAGTCTAGATCTCAGTATCCTGGGAGAGGAGGAGGAGGAGGAGCTGAATACGGGGAGTCTACTGAGTTGGGATACTTCGCAGAGCTGGTATGTGCCAGAGCAGGAACATTTTCCTGTTCTGGGCACACCAACGCTACAAGAACAACCTCACACTTTGAGTCATTTCTCTTTGGATGTTTCCAGATTTGATCTAAACGAGATTATAAGTGGGAGCGAAATGATGCTCGATGTAATGAGCAAGTTAGCTCAAATTGATGATGATAAAGCTTTCATTCTCAGCGGAGAGAAGCTGAAATCCAGCCCTAAGCGATCTTCAAACAACTTTGTAGATGTTTTCATTCTGCAAAACAAAATAGAAGTAATCTACAATGGTTTTCTGATGTTGTCTGGGTCCTTGGTTAGGACTACTGCAGTGAAGGAGTGCTCCTCATCACTTAATACAAATAACTACCAGGCCTGTTTGCAGCAGATTATAGTCATCGAGACAAACGATAATATCACTGAAATGTCTCTGTTCTTCAACATTCAGCCTACCGGACCTCCATCCGATTGGAATGTTATCTCAAATAGTGATTACGAGATAGTAGCCATCTGGAGGGGATCTCCTAAAATACAGCAAGTCAGCAGACATGTGACTGAGAATGGGATGGCAGAAGAAAGTGTCCTTATCAAACAAACAAAGAAACTTTTGGGAGTTAACATGGTAACGGACCAGAACAGAAAACTTATCGAGTTTGGTCTTGACTCTCTGATGACTGTAGAGTTGATAGAGATACTGAGAGGGCTGACTGGCAGGGAGTTTAACAATTCTGATGTTATGAATCTGTCTTTTAAAGATCTAGCCGAGATTAATTAATGATGATGACACTGTTCTAAGTTAGGGTTAATTATATAATATCTACAATATTTGTACAAAAATGATAATTATTTGAGAATATTTAGAAAAATTGTCACTTCATTGTACGCAAAAACAAAAGTTATCTAAACATTCGTGTTAAGCACACAATCGAAGAAAATAAACTCGGTCAGAAATTCAATAACAACGAAATGAGCTGATGATAACGCAGTAACTTGATATAGAAAAATATATTGTAGAACGGCTCCGTTTGGCTGGCAGATTGCCTGGCATTCTTAGTATAACGGCATTCATCTTATAATAATAAGCCACACCCGGATATAGATACTTAAATTAGTTGTATACTTTGGCCGACTATCACTGACGAATCTGAAAGTTTTTAGAAGGTTTTTGAAGAAGTAGTCTAAACAATTAAGTTACCTTTCAGATTTTTTGCAGATAACTTCGTAAGGTCTGAACTGCTGAACACTCCCTTTCTTGATAACAGTGATATCAACGTTACTTCCAGACCCCAGATCGTTTACAATACCCGCTCGTATAGCGTCACGAACCAGCTTCTTGGCGTCCTCTTCCTGCAATGGGTTTAAACTTCTTTTTATGACCAATATCAAAGTAATTAAAAAAGTATGAAGATAAATATCGGTTATTACAGAGTTTAAGATACTAGAGACAAAATGTGATTAAACATTTTGGTACATTTTACCCAAATGCACAATGCACATACATAAGAAAGTTACATGTAATGGTGTACATAATGTGTTAACAAAACCAGTTTCACTGCCAATATCAGGAAGATAAGTAAATAATTGAACGTAATATTACAACGATTAAATAACTCATCTCGCCATAATATTTAAATTAAGATCTGTTAAACACACGAGGTAAAATAAATAATAAACTAAAAATAACACACAAAAAGTTACTAAATAATCAAAATGGGTAAACAAATTGGTTTACGCTAACATTCATGCCAAGTTTGTATCCGTCCTCGAACACACTCATAGCAGCAAGGGATCCAGAGCCCATAGTTACGTAAGGAAGCTTGTCAGTAGAACCATGTGGATACACTGTGTAGAGGGCAGGACCTGTTACATCCACACCTCCTAGGACTAGAGCAGCACTTACTTGACCTTGATATCTGCAAGGTTCATGGTTGATAACTGGCAAAATTTGGTGAAGATGTTGTCAATGGATTATTTCTACAAATATAAAGTGGTAAATGCTTTGTTGCAAAACAAATTAAAAAGATTAAAGTTTTACAGGGTTAAGTACGTTTTATGAACTGTCGTTATTGATGTAAAGGCTGTAACAAACCTGAAGAGATACTGTTTGAGCATCCTTAGGGCGCTGATAACCCTGCCCTCTCTTCCTGTTCTCAATTTTAGCAACTCCATTTTAGATGACACCATCCTGAAATAGTTGCATTAATTAACTTCCAGTGGACAGATTGGAGAGAAAAATATCAAACCATGTGCATGCACATGGTAGATAACCATCAATCATTATTACAACGTAATACAGTCAACGGTAATAATGTTTTAATGTAGTGTTCTATTATAAATATCCAGCAAGTTCACAACTGCTATCGGTTAACCATTAAGCAAAAGGAGACTCAAACAATCTTAAATACTCAAACTACTCAAATACTACTGAAACTACTCAAATAGTACAATACTAAACCTGGTAGTGAACTCAGTATCAGCTGCAGTTCCAGCTCCACAACAGTAGACATTATCTGCGATATAATGGATCTTTTCGCAGTTCAGATCACATACAATACTGCCGCCAGTGGCACGAGTATCTGCTCCCAACACAACACCTTCCTGATAATAACTTGGGTTATTTGCTGACAGGGTCTGTAAAACCTTTGTGATCTAATTGATAGCAGCATTGTAGATTAACTATCAAGGTTGAACTATGAGCTACTGAACCGAAAAGATAGAATTTTGAAAGTGACTATAAATTCTAAACAGTGCCATAATTAATGTGTTGTGAGATTTCAAAATTACAAGCATCAAAGAATTCACCAGTATTATATATTCTTATTCACGGTGGGAATTACAAAGTAAAACTTACATTGAATATCACGCCAACAATTGTTGTTCCAGTACTACGAGCTTTTGGGAGGGTCACACCTTGTTTAGCCATGAAGGCATTTCTGAAATTTCAAAAATATAAAAGATGGTTCACCACATGTCTTTCAAAATCAATATGATTTTAAAATGAAACAAGTATGCTAATTTGGACTGAATTTTGAACTTTTATCCACTATATTATAACTCAATATTGAAAGATAAAATATTTCTGAACTCTAAGGGCCCATGCTTGTGCAGGAGCTGCATTTGCACTCAATATCTGTGTTTTGGTGACCCTCAGGTCCTTTGGTTACATACATTTTGTCCGAGACAATTTCAACTTTGACAATCCATGCTTAGAGGACAATATTATATTTAACTAATTCATTGTGTAAACTTGTATGTAATTGACTGATTTGAAAGATTTCAATAAAAAAAATTGACAGAATGATGCAATGGCTTACCTTCGACAATTTTCAAATGAAAATCCTTTGGGTTCATTCTTCCCCATCAACATCTGGTCCACTGCAACAGAAACCATCTTTCCTATGAAAAAGTCGTTAGTAGATACGTTACAATTTCTAAGTGAAAGTCTTATAAAAAAATTGATACGAGCAAAGAAAAATAGGGCAGTTGGAATGGGCATGGATCCAAATAAAGTTTGATGGGTGGTCAGCATCAGGTAGCTAAATAGGAAATTTGTAGGGTTGTCAACAGCTCACATTCTTATTTTGACTCAGAAATAAGATTCAGGGGTAGCCTTTTCAGATCAGAGGATCTCAGAATTGGCTAAAGTCCCATATTCCAATAACAAGCCCTGTAAGCAACCAATGTAAGGAGCCACCAAGCCATTTAACTTTTCTAGATACGATTTTGATGGCAATAGCATTTAAATTCAACAAATCCTCTGTATTAAGATTGCATATGTCTGTCGCTTCAACCAGAGCTGATTGTTCTCAGTGTGTGAGACTAGTGTAACCATTCTATACTTCTTGGAACTCTAACCCTACTGCTAAGTACAAGGAAAACTGTGCAGATGAGTTCTTACTATTTATCACAGAGAACATGGTCGATCATCTCTGCAGGAGTGAGTGACTGACCCAACTATGGGTGGTTACTGGTTACTTGATCAATCATGTGAAAAAATGTCAAAAACTATAACGGGGGGGGGGGGGGGGGGTGACATGTCTCCAATGTCTCCAATGTCTTTTGTCTTTTTTGAAAAGATAGGGTGCAGAGACATGTCCTGGAGACATTGGAGACATTGGAGACACAGCTTTTGGAGACATTGGAGACATTGGAGACAAAGCTTTTGGAGACATTGGAGACATTGGAGACACTGGAGACGTAGATGTATGATTGGAGAAGGAGGAGGATCTAGGAGGAGGATGACCCAGGAGGAGGACTCAGGAGGAGAAGGAGGAGGATGAGGACTCAGGAAGAGGACTGAGGAGGACTGAGAAGGAGGAGGACTGAGGAGTACTGAGGAGGATGGCTGAGGAGGATGGCTGAGGAGGATGACTGAGAGGGAGGAGGAGGAGGAGGACCTAGGAGGAGGACCCAGAAGGAGGACTCAGGAGGAGGAGGAGGAGAACTCAGGAAAAGGACTGAGAAGGAGGAGGACTCAGGAGTACTGAAGAGGATGACTGAGGAGGAGAAGGACTGAGGAGGAGAAGGAGAAGGTGGAGGAACTAGGAGGAGGATGAACCAGGAGGAGGACTCAGGAGGAAGAGGAGGAGGACTCAGGAGGAGGACTTAGGAGGAATGAGAAGGAGGAGGACTGAGGAGAACTGAGGAGGAGGAGGAGGACTGAATAGGAGGAGGGGGACTGGGGAGGACTGAGGAGGAGGAGGACTGACGAGAAGGATGAGGAGGAGGACTGAGGACTGAGGACTGAGGAGGAAGAGGAGGAGGATGAAGAGGAGGAAGAGGACCCAGGAAGAGGAGGACTGAAGAGGACGATGAGGATGAGGACTGAGGAGGAGGAGGAATGAGGAGGATGGCTGAGGAGGATGACTGAGAGGGAGGAGGAGGACTGAGGAGGAGGAGGAGAAGGACTGAGGAGGAGAAGGAGGAGGACCTAGGAGGAGAAGGACCCAGGAGGAGGACTCAGGAGGAGGACTCAGGAGAAGGACTCAGGAAAACTGAAGAGTGAATAGGAGGAGGGGGAGGACCTAGGAGGAGGAGGACCGAGAAGGAGGACTGAGGAGGAGGAGGAGGAGGAGAACTCAGGAAGAGGACTGAGGAGGACTGAGAAGGAGGAGGACTGAGAAGGAGGAGGACTGAGGAGTACTGAAGAGGATGACTGAGGAGGAGAGGAGTAGAAGGACTGAGGAGGAGAAGGAGAAGGTGGAGGAACTAGGAGGAGGATGAACCAGGAGGAGGACTCAGGAGGAAGAGGGGGAGGACTCAGGAGGAGGACTTAGGAGGAATGAGAAGGAGGAGGACTGAGGAGAACTGAGGAGGAGGAGGAGGACTGAATAGGAGGAGGAGGGGGACTGGGGAGGACTGAGGAGGAGGACTGACGAGAAGGATGAGGAGGAGGACTGAGGACTGAGGACTGAGGAGGAAGAGGAGGATGAAGAGGAGGAAGAGGACCCAGGAGGAGGAGGACTGAAGAGGACGATGAGGATGAGGACTGAGGAGGAGGAGGACTGAGGAGGATGGCTGAGGAGGATGACTGAGAGGGAGGAGGAGGAGGACTGAGGAGGAGGAGGAGAAGGACTGAGGAGGAGAAGGAGGAGGACCTATGAGGAGGAGGACCCAGGAGGAGGACTCAGGAGGAGGACTCAGGAGAAGGACTCAGGAAAACTGAGGAGTGAATAGGAGGAGGAGGGGGAGGACCTAGGAGGAGGAGGACCCAGAAGGAGGACTGAGGAGGAGGAGAACTCAGGAAGAGGACTGAGGAGGACTGAGAAGGAGGAGGACTGAGGAGTACTGAAGAGGATGACTGAGGAGGAGGAGGAGGAGAATGACTGAGGAGGAGAAGGAGAAGGTGGAGGAACTAGGAGGAGGATGAACCAGGAGGAGGACTCAGGAGGAAGAGGGGGAGGACTCAGGAGGAGGACTGAGGAGAACTGAGGAGGAGGAGGAGGAGGACTGAATAGGAGGAGGACTGACGAGAAGGATGAGGAGGAGGACTGAGGACTGAGGAGGAAGAGGAGGAGGATGAAGAGGAGGAAGAGGACCCAGGAGGAGAAGGACTGAAGAGGAGGATGAGGATGAGGACTGAGGAGGAGGAGAAGGACTGAGGAGGAGGAGGAGAAGGACTGAGGAGGATGACTGAGAGGGATGAGGAGGACTGAGGAGGAGGAGAAGGACTGAGGAGGAGAAGGAGGAGGACCTAGGAGGAGGAGGACCCAGGAGGAGGACTCAGGAGGAGGACTCAGGAGAAGGACTCAGGAAAACTGAGGAGGAGGAGGAGTGAATGGGAGGAGGAGGGGGACTGGGGAGGACTGAGGAAGAGGAGGACTAAGGAGAAGGATGAGGAGGAGGACTGAGGAGGAGGATGAGGACTGAGGAGGAGGACTGAGGAGTACTGATGAGGATGGCTGAGGAGGACGGCTGAGGAGGATGGCTGAGGAGGATGACTGAGGAGGATGACTGAGAGGGAGGAGGAGGAGGAGGAGGAGAAGGAGGAGGACTGAGGAGGAGGAGGAGGAGGAGAAGGAGGAGGACCTAGGAGGAGGAGGACTCAGGAAGAGGAGGACTCAGGAGGAGGACTCAGGAAGAGGACTCAGGAGGAGGACTGAGAAGGAGGAGGACTGAGGAGAACTGAGGAGGAGGAGGATGAGGACTGAATAGGAGGGGGGACTGGGGGAGGACTGAGGAGGAGGGGGACTTGGGGAAGACTGAGGAGGAGGAGGAAGACTGACGAGAAAGATGAGGAGGAGGACTGAGGAGGAGGACTGATGATTGAGGAGGAAGAGGAGGAGGATGAAGAGGAGTAGGAGGACTCAGGAGGAGGAGGACTCAGGAGGAGGAGGACTCAGGAGGAGGAGGAGAACGACTGAGGAGGACTGAGGAGGAAGAGGAGGAGGAGGAGGAGGAGGAGGAGGAGGAGGCTGTGTCTCCAATGTCTCCAAAAGCTGTGTCTCTAATGTCCCCAATGTCCCAAATGTCCCCAATGTCTCCAATGTCTCCAAAAGCTGTGTCTCCAATGTCTCCAAAAGCTGTGTCTCTAATGTCCCCAATGTCCCAAATGTCCCAAATGTCTCCAATGTCTCCAAAAGCTGTGTCTCCAATGTCTCCAATGTCTCCAATGTCTCCAATGTCTTTGTCTTTTTCGAAAAGATAAGGTGCGGGAGACATTGGAGACATGTCACCCCCCCCTATAACTAGTTTTACAGTAATGAACTCCAAATCACGAGGGGTTCGAAGGTTCCGTGGTTGCTTGAAGGAGCTTGTTATCAGCAAATTACAAGTTAAGAAAACAGAAACAAGAGACCGGCTTGTGCTATCAATCCCAGGGGGTTTGCTAATGAATTAAATGCAATACCTTCCAGTAGACTCAACCGCTTTCTCAAGAAAACAACAATTTCAAGAAGCTAAAAGGTTCGATTCCTAGTGTCACCTTGTTTAGGGAGGTTAACATAGCTAAGGATCCGTTGGATCCACGTGAAGTTTTACATTTGTGCAATAATAATAATAATAATAAATACAACATTTATAAACCGCCTTATAGCTAAATCATATAACTCGATATAACCTACCTATTGAACCTATTGATAGGTTTAGAAGTAGGCATCTTCACGGCCATCACGCAATCTGCGGACCACCTCCTTGACTGCACCGGTCTATTATCGAGTTAGAGTTTTCTGCACTGTATCCAGGAGTTGGGGGCTTGTCTGGAAGGGTGTCTAGGAAGTTTCCAAGAGATGTCTTGAAGCTTGTCAAAGTCCTTTGAGTATTGACAATTTTGGGGAGAACATTCCAGAGTCTTCCAGCTCTCACTGCGAATGAGTGCTCGTAGGTAGAGCGTGCAGCAGCTGATGCTTTTTTTGTGAGAGAAGGGAGTATAACTTTGACTCCCAGTCTGGCATTCTCTCTGAACTGTACATCTAGGTCATTTGGACATATACCCTGGAGAACTTTCCACAGATGTATGATGGTGTAGCGTTCTCGGCGTCTTTGCAGTGATGTAAGTTCCAGTTCCTTCAGTCTATTCCAATAATCGGTGTCTCTGAGCCCTAGAATTCGTCTAGTGAACTGGCGTTGTATGCTCTCGATAGACTGGATATCAAAGATCTTGTTTGGATTCCAAAGCGGGCAGCAGTACTCCACTCTGGACCTTATCAGGGATTTGTAGAGCTGGAGCATAACAGGTGTTGTCCTGTCTTTGAATACTCCAAGAACCCAAGATGCCATCTGACGTGCCTTGTCAACCATGATATTGATATGTGGTGTCCAGGAGTAATCATCGGACATGTTGACTAAATATAATTTAATCCTGGAGATAAACTCCAGTGCTTTCTAAAGCGGCTCTTACATTAACTGAGCTTAGTTTAATTGAAAATTAGACATGACAAGTTCATTTTACCTATGTAAA